CTTTCCCAAAGCATATAGTTACTTAGACCTATGTGAAGCCACATAAGTTGTTCTCCCAATTGCCTAGCTCTTTCTTTCTAGTTCTTCAGGAGGTCACCTGCCATGATTTATAGAATTACAAATTCACTTAATCCAGAGAGGGGAGTCCAGAGATTGGATTGCATAATAGCAATCTCTTGTCTTCTTCAAATTAATATCTACGTTTATTGTTTCTCTTTCCCTAGACATGCCTATTTGCCTTTAGCCTGTCAACTATAGAGCCATTCAACTTTATCCTTGTTTTGGACATTTCTAAAGAAGCCATACTTGGGTATCAGTTGTTTGCCTTTGCCTAAGGTATTTATAGTTTATTTGGGTATATTCAGTTAAGCACCAGAAAAGTTAGATCTAAGCACAGTTGAGTTAGCATTCGTCTCCTCCAATTACCCAGCTCTACCACTACAGAGCAAGACACCAAAATATACCACCGATTCTGTAAAAAAGGAGACACAAGGACAATGTGAAAGAAAGATAACTTGAAACATTTATCTCAGGAATGGCACTTATTAAGTAAGAGTGTTCATAATTATGATCGCAACACTATTGATTTAAAATTCAATAACTTTTTTATAAGATTGTGCTCTCTATACGTTTTCTGATTCTTCAAAAGATATGGATCCCATTTTAGTGAAGAGTTATACAACTGCAACTTATCAAGAGTGCTACTGTGATTTAAATGTGATATAATTATTGTCAAAAGCTTGCTCTAGCTATTGAACTTTTCAGAAAGGCCATCTAATGGACAGATTAACTATTAATCTTTATTTTCTTAGGCATCGATGCTGTATTAAGATACTACAACAGATAGGATAGTGCCTGGACCATGTTATATAAATTCCCCACAGAAATGCTTTTACTGAATTATGTTTTAATGATTAATAATTCAGCCTGCACTATACCATCTAAAAGTCAGAGGCCTGCCAATTCCATTTGATAAATGTTTGAATTGCAGTGCAGTGCACAGAAGATAAATGCCTGCTGTCCATTCATTCTTCAGGTCAACAACTGGCTAAAGTGTCAGAGTAACTATGAAAATTGTCATCTGAAATAAGTTGCTGCAATGAGGAAGAGAATGAGTCCCAATAAAGGCTATGAAGTGGCCTATGTTTCTGTTATCTGATTTAATCTTATGGAATTTTACATTGAATATATATAAACGATTCCAAATTTGACATATATGGAAAGATATTAAGAATTTTACTGAAGTTTCATGTATCATAACTAATAAAACCAGGAATTGTTGGATTGTTTTGCTGAGAAATGGTACAGAAAAGGGAGGTTATGCTGGGACTGTAGGATAGGAAAACAGACTGCCAAATTGAATCTTGAGGTTTCAGGGAAGTCTAGACTATTTACACTAATGAGCATGAAACTTCTCCTCCATGTCTAATGCTAATAAATATAATTTTAATATACATGAGTTTAATATTGTTGGCTAGCCACCTAAGTGGTTTTAGGCTAAGTGTGACAGTCTGTAAGTCCAGGTATTCTAAATTCATAATCCTTTGTGCAGAAACTTGAATAAAAATACCTTGACATTTTATTGTTCTAAGATTACATGATATTGACATTACCAATCAATATTTGTATCCATTGCGACTGTCTCACCCAGCTATCAGTAACTGCATGCTTCCTATAGCTACTTAAGTGAGGCATCATGCCCAAATGAACTCATTCAATTTTAGAAAACACTTTATCTTAACAGCAAATCTGTTCTGTGATTGGTTTATTGATTCTAGTTCTTCCTCTATAATAATATGAGAATGTACTTTCTCTTCCACACAAAATTTTTCAGATACTTGAAAGCAACAAGTTTCTACTTTGCGTTTTTCTGTATCATTATGACATGCTTCCATTCTTTTAGCCAGGCTCTCCATATTGTCATATTATTTTAATAAAAAAAATTTATTTCATTAGGTTTTGCTCCAGTTTACTCACACTAAATAGAGGAGGATCTCCTCTCCATCTTCTGTCAACACAGGCTAAGGTTATATTATCTTTCTTGGCAAGAGAAATTGGTATTGACTTGTATTCAAACTGCCATTAAGTAAAACACTTTTGACAGTTTCCTGTGCTACAATGCATTTCTTACCTGTTATACTCGTGCATATGGGTACAGCTAGTACAGACTTTTGAGTCTTATGTGCACTGTCATCATATATGATTACATTACCTTTGATCCGTGTACCAAATTTTGTCACAATTAAAATTCTTTTTTAGGGGCTGGAGAGATCTCAGTTGTTAAGATCACCAGTGGCTCTTCCAGAGGGCTCATATTCTATTTCCAGGACCCACGTACTATCTAACAACCATCTATAGATATATCTTCAATTCCGAGGGAATCCAGTGGTACCCTCCTCTGAACTCCACAGGCACCACAAGCACACACTGCACAGACATAAGTCTAGGAAAAAATCATACACATAAATAAAAATAAATATCAAAAAATATACTGATTTTTTTACCCACTGTATACCTAATACTGTACTCAACTTTTTTGTCAATCTGTATAATTTTATCTTTTATTTAAGGATGAGTCTCAATTTTATGGCTGAAAAAACAAACTCAAATATATAATTAACTTGACTGGGATCGCTGTGAACAATAGGAACAATTTCAAACTTGTATATATATCTGCCCAACTTCAAGATTGGTGATTTTATTTGTTTCATTTACTTCTACTAGGCCATTTCCCACAACAACCTTAATTAGTTATCAATCTAAAAATTTTCATGAGTGGAAAACTGATTCTTCAGTGAATTGATGGTGCAGGCAGAAGGGCATAACTTTCCATGTCTAACAATGAGGGTTTCCATAGGTAAAGAGCAGAATTGAAACCGGACAATTACCAAAGTATGCCAAAGAAAGCATTGAAGTTAGAGATGCTTTCAGGAAGTAGGGTAAATGAACAGTATTCAATATCATAGTGAAAAAGTATCATAAGCTCATATCATGCAAAGAAGGGTTCGTGATGCAGAGAAAAAAATATCATGAGTAATTTTCTGAATGTAATTTCATGAATTTGTGGTTTTGTTTTATATATTTTGCATTTTGTCTGTATTTCAAACATTTTTTTAATTTTATTTTATGTGAATTGATGTTTTGTTGGTGTATGGGTCCATATAACAGTGCCAGGCCCCCTGGAGCTGGAATTACTGACATTTGTCAACAGCCATGTAGATGGTGGGAATTGAATCTGGTTCTCTGGAAGAGCATCTAGTGCTCTCAACTACCAAACAATATCTTCAGTCCTTCGTCTGCATTTTTTAATTACATTTTTATATGATATGTTTGGATTCCTCAAACTCTTTACAAATCCCCCCACTTCCCCACTTCCCCACTTCCCCAACTCTATAGCCTTTCTTTCTTTTTATTTTTAGCAGCCGAAAAAAGTGACTGAAATATTAAAGGCTGTTTGTCATGATTGTGAAGTAAAAAAATTTTTTAAAAAATCTTTTTCCATGTTGCTTTTCTTCCTGAAATTTCCACACAAACATCCAAGAGAAAGAAGTATTTTAGAACTGTAGTTATTAGATATCCATATACAGGAAGTAACACAACTTCTGTGCCTTTGCCAAGACTACTTGTATAACATAGGAGAAAGGAAGAATTGTATGGGTATTTGAGTTAAAATCTGCTCAAAATTTACCCATATTCCTGCAGACATATCTCAGTAGAAGAGCACTTTCTAAGAATGAGCAAGGCTCTGGTTTGTTTCCTGCACAACTAAAAGATAAGACTGATGATAGCAAGTCATGCAGGGCTTGAGGTGAAGAAAGTAATCCAAATCTAAACACAAGAAGAATGGGGCCCAGAATCATTGGAGACCATTTAAAGTACAAAAGAACAGGTGATGGCTATATGAAATACATAGGAAGTGATTAGATCTGACCACTAAAAGATGGTCAAACTCTTACATCCTTAAATTTTTTCTGCTGTAGTAGAGAAGCAGAAATAAACCAGTACAATTAAAAGAATTCTAGGAAAGACTAAAAGAAATTACAAATGAGTCTAACATTAAGTTTAATAAAACTAAGAATGGCTTATAGATCTATAAAATTGAGGCATAGTCTCTTTAAATGTACCTACTTAGTTTGGGGTCTCCCTATTTTTACATTCTGAATCATAAATTTAAATTTTGAGACCAGGAAGTTCTATATGGCTCAGAGAATGATCCATAATAGTCTCCCTTTTTTATTTTGAATGAGTTGAGTTTGTATGTATATAAGAAGACAAAATAAAAGAATAAATAATAGCTAGGGATCGATGGAAAGAGAGTTAGACGGTGAGAGAGAGAGAGAGAGAGAGAACATTAAATCAAATGTTCAAAACAGGAAGCAGAAATCATCAATTGGAGAAGTCCCCCTGCGGTTGCTGTCTGGAGTAGCAGGTTGGTGGTTCCAGCTGGAGAAGTGTCTCAGGGAAAACTTTCAAGGAAAAGAAAAAATAGCAACACAGAGAAATCACAACACAGAAAGAGCTCATGACATCCAGCAGAGACTGACTGCGGAAATTGAGGCAGTCTAGCTGAGTGTTCCATTGAGCTTCATCTTCATGGATCAGCCTTACATGGCTGAATTTCAGGCTCATCTCCCCCACTGCCAATGTTTTACAAAATGTGATTAAAAAAAAAAAGTAGCTGGAAACAATTTATCTTCTAGTTGTTGTCAGGGACACAATATTCTAACTCTTGGGTTTTTGTGTTTTTTTTTTTTTTTTTTTTTTTTTTTTTTTTTTTTCTGATCCCTTCCTTGTCATGCAGTTAAGAAGGCAGCCACCTGTCCCCAGACAAGATACTCTGGAAGATACTTTTAAGACAACTGTTCTTGAGTCTGAAGTGGTAGGAGACGACCCCACTTCCAGAGCTTTGCAGTGAACTCAAGGAGCAAGTGACAATTCACTGATATAATTATTATCTTTGTACATGACCAAATTTTATATGCTTTTTTTTTTTTTAACAGGTACGAGTTGAAAAATGTTGACTTCCCCAGAACTGAAGGGCCTTGTCCCCTTTACGGCAGAGTCACTTGAACTTATAGAAAATCACATTGCTAAAAAATGCAATGAAGAGCATGAAGACGAAGGTTTAAAACCAAGCCCTGATTTGGAAGCTGGCAAAGAACTTCCATTTACCTATGGAGCCCTTCCTTGTGGAACCGTGTCAGAGCCCGTGGAAGATGTCGATCCGTACTACTACGTTAAGAGAAATGTAAGGAGAAAATGTAATCGAAACTGTATTTTGATTAGTTTATATTAAACCCGTTAAAATATTATTGAGAAAAAAAATAGAATTGAGATGAGACGATGAGACTTAGATAAAATGAATAGAGAAAGAGCTCTTTCATAATGTTTTTTTTTTTTTAATGTGGGGTCAACATATTCAAGATAGTTAATAAACCTGTTAGAATATCTGAGTAATATGTTATGTTTAATGAACCTAGTTATGTATATTATTTCTTAATATAAGTGACTTTTGTGGAAATATGCTGATTATCTTTATCCAGCTTTCAACTTTAACATAGTCATGAAATACTTAGAATGGGAGCACCAATTTTAAACATCTGATAACTTACTAGTCAGAATAGTACATTCAAACGTGGTAGCTCAATAATTAATTGGTTTCCCATAGTAAAGGGAACAAGGACTATTTCTAACAAGAACTCAATGACTGGCTCTTTGACCTCCCCACCAGAAAGGGAGGAGCAGTTCTGCTAGGTCACAGAGGAGGACTTGGCAGCCAGTCCTGAAGATACCTGATAAAACAGGATCAGATGAAAGGGGAGGAGGTCCTACCCAATCAGTGGACTTGGAAAGGAGCAGGGAGAAGCTGAGGGAGGGAGGGTGGGATTAGGAGTGAATAAGGGAGCGGGATACAGCTAGGATACAAAGTTAATAAAATGTAACTAATAATAATAAACAATAAAAAAAACAAATTGTGTATTTTTTGTTTTCACTCATTCATATATTCACAAATTCAAACCTATCTCATTTCTAAAAAGTCCTGAGAGACCCTACAAATTATCTAAACACACACATGTACACACACACACACACACACACACACACACACACACAGATACTTACTTTCTTTACACATGAGAGACTCCCATAATAAGTACAAAATGCTAAGTATGGGAATGGTTTTTGCTAGAAACTACAGAAATCTTATGTGGATTGATGAAGCTAGGAGAGTTTTTACTTCAAAAGCAGAACTTAGAGGCTGGAAAAATGTCTCTGTGATTAAGGGTACTGGCTGCCATTCCAGAGGTCACGAGTTTGATTCCTAGTACCTGAACAGCAGATCACAACTTTTTGAAACTCTAGTTCTAGGGAATTTAAATTCCTCTCTTTGTCACCCTGGGACCTATGCACAGACATAGTTCATAGGTTGACATGAAGCCAAAATAGCTATTCATGTAAACCAATAAAGTGAAATAAGGTAATCGGCTTACAGAATACTTGGAATTTTAATAAAGCCAAGGTAGAACATTTTATGGACAAATGAACAGGCAACAGCCAAGATTGATTCTGCAAGGGGGCATGGAGAGGACGGTGCTATTACTGGAAACTCAGTTAGGTTGTCAACTGTGGTAAAGATGAGATCTCAACATGGACTTAATGTAGTGATCAAGAAGGATAGGAGCTCTACAAGGACCAAATATATCCGGGCACAGGGTCTTTTCTGACACTGACACTCAACCAAGGACCATCTATGGATATAACCTAGAACTTCTGCTTGGATGTGGCCCGTGGTAGCTCAGTAACCAAGTAGTTTTCCAAAGTAAGGGGAACAAGGACTATTTCTAACAGATTTTCAAGGGCAAGCTCTTTGACCTCCCCCCCCCCCAGGGGAGGAGTAGTCTGTTAGGCCACAGAGGAGGACTTTGCAGCCACCACCCCCCCCCCGGAAGATACCTGATAAAACAGGGTCAAATGAAGGCGGAGGAGGTCCTCTCCTGTCAGTGGAGTTGGAAAGGGGCAGGGAGGAGACCAGGGAGGGAGTGTGGGGTGGAGTAGGGAATGAGGGAGTGGGATACAGCTGGGACACAGAGTTAACAAAATGTAACTAATAAGAAAAATAAAATTTAAAAAAAGATTCTTCTACATTGTTGTCATTCTATTAAAATTTATTAAATAAAAAAAAGATCATATGTAATGAACGTGGCAGCTCAATAAAAGACAGCATCTTTCCATATTAGAAGAGAAGGGACCAAAAGAGGAAAGAGACAATGTGAAAGATAGGGAGACGGAAAATAGGGAGAGAAGGCAGAGAAGAGATGGAGGTGAAGAGAAAGGGTGAGAATGGGGAGAAGAGAAGAAGAGTAAGATACAGAGAAATGGAGGGAGAGAAGGAAGGGAGGGAGTTGTATGTTGTAAATTAACTTAGTGTATGTACTGATATTGCTTACTATAAATGCCGTTTGTCGAAATATGATAATTACTTTCTTCTAATTACCAATTTTAAAATAATCACGAAGTGTTTACACTATGGGAGAGGGAGAGAAAGAAAGAAAACAAAATAGCGAGGGTGAGTGTTATATCAGGAAAGAAACAGCAGGGTATAACTGCTGGGTAAGACTAACATTTACAACTTAGAAGAGTGAAGTTACCACCAACAATATCAAATATCAAACGACATCATATTGGGGAAACATGAGGATTACCTACTAGCGTTTTGATATTCATGGATTATTTTCACTGATGTTATCTAATGGGCGAAATCAAAGCAAATGAAAAAGTCGGGAGAAATATATTGCACGACTACACTGCTAATACTGTCATGGTAAAAAGTGTCACTTGAATTATTTTGAGAGTATTTAGTTGAGATGCAAGTTGAGTCTTCATTTGACTTGTGTTAGCACTCACTTTTTGGTGTGCTTGTGTTGTCCTAGTTTATAATCGGCAGTAAACGTAGGAAAGCCTGTTACTGTAGCAGCAGTCACAATACTGAGTAATGTATGGAGACATGCTGGCCGTGGGAATATTGTTATTGAAGGCAAAACCAAAAAAGAACGAAACGAGCCCTTTATGATGGGTATTTTTTTGTCTTTTTTAATTTATTTTTTTTAATAGAATATGTCGTTGGTTGGAGAGAGGTGGGTAGGATCTGGGAGGAGTTGAGAAAAGGGAAAGAATATTATCAAAACTTATTGTATGCAAAATTAAATATGAATCGATTCTAAAAATTCACATAAAGAAAAATAAATAAGAATGAAACCAGATTCAGAGTTATGCGTGGTCCAAGTGGCCATGAGGCATGAAGGGTAAAGCCGGTGGGAGGGACTCCGTGTAAAGAGTGTTGAATCACTAATATCACATTATTTGACCAAACAAACAAAAAACCAACTGCAGACAAGATATTAGGAAATAATTTGGAATTACCCATTCCTTCACAATGACACACATGCATGTTCAACCTCCCATCAAGTCTGCAGTTGTTTTGGAAGCTAGCATGGAAAGTAGAATTCACATAATCAGAATATTACCTAGAACCCCTGCTCAGATGTAGCCCATAGCAGCTCAGTATCCAAGTGTGTTTCCCTAGTAAGGGGAACAGGGACTGTCTCTGATATGAACTCAGTGGCGAACTCTTTGACCACCCCCACCCTGAGCAGGGAGCAGCCTTGCCAGGCCACAGAGGAAGACAATACAGCCAGTCCTAAGGAGACCTGATAAGCTAGGGCCAGATGGAAGGGAATGAGGACCTCCCCTATCAGTGGACTTGGAGAGGGGAATGGGAGGAGATGAAGGAGAGAGGGTGGGATTGGGAGGGAATGAGGAAGGGGACTACAGCTGGGATACAAAGTAAATAAACTGTAATTAATATAAAAAATAAAAATTTAATTAAAATAAAATAGACTATTAAAAAATAGAATTGCACCAAATATCCTCTTTTCCCCCTACAAAAAAGTTAGTAAGTTAATTTCCTCCTACAATCCCTCCCTCATAAATAATTTAAATGATTGATGTAACATTTCAAAGCATTTGATCTTTTTTGCTTTTTAACACTACATTGACTTTTTCTGATATAAAATAAAAAACTTCACATTCATGAAGTTATGATATGTAGTCCCTCTTTTACTGTTAAGTGCAAATCCACACACTATGTGGAGTACTTTCTTTTACATTAATTAGTTCAATTGGGAGATGAGGTGGGTTACAACGGCAAATGATTTTCTTAAGTAGACAACCAGCAAAACAAAACAAAGCAATGAAAACCACTCCTTTTGACTTAAAAGTAATTAAATATTAACGCCAATAAAATATGACCGAATTTCAAACTGGTGAGCATTGGTAGTTTGTTGCTCAAGATCTGCATTCTTTGTTTAACTGTATTTACTGTGCTTTCTTACAGACTTTCATGGTCTTAAACAGAAACAGAGTTATCTTCAGGTTCAATGCCGTTTCTATCTTCTGCACACTGTCGCCTTTCAGTTCACTCAGAAGAGCAGCTATCAAGGTTTTGGTGCATCCATATCCTTTCTAGGTGTGGTTGGCTGTGTCTTCAGTGTGTTAATAACAAGTCCAGATGTTCTGTTATTCAACACCTGCTGCAGAACTCTTTCTTCTTACTGGTAATTTGTGACACCATATTAAATACTAGATTTTTCTGTGATAATTCTTACATGTTTGAAAAACACATAGAAAATATAGTTTAATAAAATTTCAATAATAGTTAAAATGTTAATTCTTGTTTTTCAGTAAGAATAACATGTATTTTCAGTATTTGTAAAAAGATCTTATTACTTGTATCTATAAGTGCAATTTATGTAAATATGTCTTTTTAAATGTAATTTATTGTCCATTTTTCCTTGACCTTGCTTACTCTTTTCCGCCTGCTAATTTTAATTAGTGTCCTCACTGACGGCCTATTTATGTCCATGAGTAATCCACCAGAATGGATATCAGCAACAGAGTAAGTTACTTGGTTTTATTCTATATAATACAGTCTATAATTATATTTTGGTTTTCAGCACTTTTAATCTTTATAGTGTTATATCAAAGTCTAAAATGTGTCATGAATTGAAACACAACACAATTTAACTTTAAAATTTTTTCTTATAAATTTAGAAAATTTATAAAGACAAGAGACTTATTTCGCGAGCACAGTACATCTGCTGTTTGATTTAATTCCAGTTCAGTCCTCTCGCCTATACTAAACTGTGTTCTGTGGAAACAGCAGCAGCTCTCTTGCAAGCAGTCATTCGACTGAGTGTTTAAATACATTAACTGATTATATCAGTTGAAATGTTTCTCTTTTGCTCTATGCATGTACCATGGTTTCATACACATTCATCACATTCATAAATTGTCAGTTTTATACTTGTCCTTGTTCGTGGAAATACCAAAGAGTCTTATTTTCAGTAGAATAATGGAAATATAGATTAATTTTTTAAAAAAATCAGATTTCCTGACATTAACTTTGAACTTTAACACTATTCTTACAACTAGCTGATTCTCAAAATAACTATGATACTTCCTCATAAAAAAAGTGTGTGTGTGTGTCTTTGCACACATTTGTATTAAATTGGGGTTTAAATACTACCACAATTCGTTATGATAAAATCTATATTTGAGTATATTGCCTAAGTACTATAAAAAGATTGTATAGAAGCTCTGTCAGGACAACTACAGGGAAGAAGTAGGTAATCAAATTCAGTAGTCAATGCTTGCACACAGGCATCACTGAGGCCCACTCTACAGCTCTTTGCTAAGTTTCAAGGGGACCAGGCTACCTTATTCTTGTCTAATTCACTGTTTCCATCTTGCCGAACACATTACACTTCTCTTCCCAGATAACTTACGTTGCATAATGGATGACTTTCATAGACATAATGTTTCAGAGTTGACAATACACTAGCCTCAACAGTTAATATGTGTGTGATTTGTTTTTCTGCAGGAATACTTTGCTTGGGCTTTACACATTTGAAATACTTGTAAAAGTCATTGCAAGAGGTGTGTGGGCAGGGTCATTTTCCTTCCTAGGAGATCCCTGGAACTGGCTGGATCTCAGTGTCACTGTGTTCGAGTGAGTAGTATTTCAGGTTGTAACGTTTTACTGATTTCAGTTAGAATGTGTCCTTCAGACAACTGTCTCTAGGTGGTTATTACAAATGAAAGGAATGGGTGGTTTGTTGTATTATAGAAAAGTAATATGTCCTAATAGTACACATTTTAAGTGTGCAATTATTTTTGCTGTTTACGATTTATTTTTGTTGTTGAGCAAAGAATATCCTTAAGACATATAAGGTTTCTAGCTTACTTGAGGCTCAGCATTAAAACATTTCCTTTAGCTCATGTTCTGAAACTAGAAAACATGCTAAATATCTGAATAAAGTGTTTAAGTACTCACAGACTTTCCTGGAGTGTTATGTATAATGTTAATTCTTATCTTAATTTTTCATTGCTTTTATTGATTATATCCTCTTTGTAGGTAGGGAAGTGATCAGTAGACCCAAATTTTTGTTAAAATAATTTTAAAAGGGATTCTACTTTTCCGTAAAAACAAGTTTTATAAAAAAGTAAAAGCAGTGTCTAATATATGTCATTATAATCATTGTCATTTGCGTTCTTGTTGCTGCCAGCTAACAGGTATTTAACCTTGCTAACAGATAGCCTGTATTGTGTGTACACATGTATGAAATTTGAATACATTTTTTCTATTAAATTTCTCTGAATAAGAGAATATCCCCTACTTTACAACAGAAATAATTATGACACAGAATATCAACTACATATCCTGTCACACAGCTAGTAAACAGTGGATGTTATTTCTACCCAGGCATTCTGGCTGTAGGGTAGATTCACTTACATAGAGCACACCCTGACTTCTGCTTTCATCACTGTTCATCAGCAGGTTCCTCACCATCAGGCGTTTAAACACTTAAGATGAACCATGTTCCTATTTTTAAAAGCAGCTAGTAGGTTTTCTTATTTTCATTATCAATTTTATAGTCAGGTAACAAGATTTTATGAATATATTATAGACTGTTGTTCAGTTCGAATTTAGTATAAGGTATAGGTGTTATAAACTCTAAGTTTGAATTTGTATGCTACTGCTACATAGGGTTATGTTCTCAAGAGCAAAATTGTCTTCCAGTCTAATAAAAGTATTTCTTGAATGGGATCATGGGAGCAAAGGACATCCTTGGAAATATGATTTTTATAGTACCTTTCAAAGACCATAGGTTCAATGACTTCTAATAAACACCCATTTACTCCCACAGACTCATCACAAGGTTTTCACCGGTAACCACTCTTTTAATGCTTGAAACTATAAGAACCTTGAGAATTTTGAAGATTATTCCCTTGAACCAAGGTAAGAAATGCTATTTGACTTGTTTTCTCCATTGTGGTTTTTGTGCGTTCATGGATTCACTTGACTGTCTTGTTATTTCTCAGAGAAGATGTTAAATTGAACAATATTTTCACTTTGCAAATCATTTAAAGTCATCTAAATCTTAAATCTGCTTGTCAACAAGGAAAGACAAGAAGGGGATAAAAAGCTTAACTGTTATTTTTATGCTGTGGATTCAATACCTGTAATACAAAAATGTAAAATCAATAATGCTTTCAGTTTTCAGTTATCCTTACAAATTGTAAAAGAACTTATAAAAGAGTCTATAAACTCCACGGAAAGCAGAGGTGGATTCTAATATGCTTCTTTTGCCTCCTTCTTTTCCTCATTTCATCACGAAACCAGTTGAAATGAATGAGCATAGACTAACGTAGTTATTAGCATGCTATAGGAGAAATCTAGGTGAACAAGTTTGTGACTTTACAGAGTGTCGGAGTTGAGTAAAGTACAAAAAGAAAAATCCACAAGTTGAAAATTTCAGTTTAAAATTTTGCCAGAGGATCTTGTCCACCTTGGTAGAATGGCCAAGATGAACATAGACTTATTCCAATACTCATTGCTCATATTAATGCTCATATCACACAACACATAGCATATAATAAATATATCTATATCTTCTATTTATGTGATTTACAGAATAAATACAAGCTAGAGAAGACACAACAGAACTCAGGAAGTTTTGGAACTAAATGAGAGAAATGTATATAGAGTCTTATGTATTGATAACATAATGAAGCTAAAATATATTTAGGGAGGAAGCTGCTGTTGAAGCCACAGAAAGGGTTAGGATAGAAGGTGGAGATGCAAAATTATGCCCATTTGTGAGGTAAAAGGGCAGAAAATGAGTCAGATTAGAAACTGTGGGTTCAGAGACAGAAAGTGAGCCCAGAGATAGGCAGATGCCAGTAAAGTATGTTGCATTAGTAATGGAAGAACTAAGCCTAGGTAACGTACCAGGAGTCATAAGGAGTTCTCTGCCTGTTGGTCTTAATCGAACACCAGGTAGCCATGTCACTCCAGGGCTAACTTTCTTTCACGCTGCTGGGTTCAGGTGAGAGAGTTAGACTCTTTCCTCAGCCCAACATGTCCTGTAAAATCTTGGGCCTGTCTTTCCTGATGTGATTTTAATGAGCATATACACACCCACAGTCTCAATTCACCAGGTAAATTCAAAGGAAAGCACACCTTATGCTTCCCAGAATAAGCCGTCTTTCAATCTGCAAGTGCCAGGCAGATGATATTGATTGCAGGTTCTATTGGGCCTCCAATCCTCTCCACCCTCAAAATGCAGTTCAAAATAGTTCTGCATGAAATGGGGTCTTTCAAGGCTAAGGCACATCTTGCGAAACCACTTTTTTTCACATATTCTGTACTGGAGTAAGGCATAGCCTGATCTCAGCTGATATAGTCCCCTTTGTTCTCAGTATGTAAATACAGCACCAAGTAGATAGACAGAAATGTTCGGGTCAGGGATCTTCTCACAGACAGAGAGCTTTGGTCCTGACAGTGGAGGATGGCGAGGAAGAGCTAGAGCTTCCGTTTCTGAATGTGCAGGCAGATGCTCTGCTCACTTGTACTGTTTGATATGTCCTTAGAAACAAAAGACAAAAGGAAAAGCAATCAGAGTGTAGCAAGTTCACCGGGCTGTCATAAATCTTACATCATGGTGAAATCATTAGGGAAGGACACCCAAGAGTGGATGCAATGTATCGAAAGTGATGTATAGAGATGATTTTCTAGTCAGAATACTATAAAAAACAAATGTGTCCACATTACGAACTTGAAATACAGGATGAGTGTTGTGGGTATTAATATTGATTTTTTTTTTTTTTTTTTTTTTTTTTTAGTTAAGCAGCAGTTAATTCCTAAACAAGCTGTATACCCAAATCACCACACAGAGACTGGGATTTATTTAATTAATCTAGAGCTCAATGCTGGCCAATAGTTACTCCATCCTAAACCTCCAAGTTCATATAGTTTCCTACCATTCAGATTTTACCCATTACACTTGCTTTTAGTCACATCTTAGGTCCAGTTCATCTCTCCACGTGGTTTCAAGACTTCCTCATGGTTCCAAGTCTTGGCCTGCGGATCTCTTCCTCCTCCACCTACTTACTCACCTCCTTCTCTTCTCCTCTGGACCAGGATGTCCCACCCTATTTTCTCCATTGCACAGCACTGGCTGGTTATTTAATTGCCAACTACAGAGAACAAATGATGGCTTGTTTACACAAACTTGAGACAGGTGATGCTTAGAATAAGCATCACAATGCAATGTCCAGATTGAAACCAGATGGTGGGGTAGAGAAATCAGCATTTGAATGAACAAAGGTACATTACACTAGAATATTATACCAACAGATGAGTCAACAAGACCACTAGACTACAGAGTTATGTGATGAAAAACCAACCTGTGAATATTTAAAAGCATCAAGTCACACACATTAAGCAGGGATATTTTAGGATTTATGAATTAAAACCCAGGAAATATGTTTTAAAAAAGTAGTTTTTAGCATGACAACCCAACCAAAGGCAGGGAAGAAACTACAAAGTTCTGCTCTGGTGGGAAATAATACCTTTAAATTTCTTTGTACATAGAGACCAATAAGAACATAAAATGGCAGCATTTTAATTTTTGCCAAAGAAACTGTTAAGAAAGAACAGCAAGTTTTAGTCAATTCAAGAAAGATATGTTGGGTATCTCTTACTCATCCAAGGAAAGCAGAGTAGGGCACCTGCTCACAGTATAGACTACATGAACAGAAAGAGAAGTGTATCATTCAAAAGAAAGTATTTCATCTGTGCATTGAATAAAAACAAGAAAAAAAAATGCATCTAGGATTTTGGCTTTATTCACTTTTAAAACTATCTTTATTCTTTAAAATTTTATTTTGCTTTCATTGTTTCTTGATCGTATCCACCCACTACCACCTCCCCCAACTCACCCTAGAGCCCCACTCATTCTCCATCCCAATATTTTCGTGGTATTTAAACACCCTTGAATCCAGTCAGTGCTGTCCATATGTGTATGGGTGTGTGGACATTTACTGGGGCATAACATGGCTGTTGCCCACATCAACTTACAGAAGCTGTGCTTACCAGCATGAGACAGGCACCAGAGTGAGTCATTTGTCTGATTTTCAATCAACGGAAGAAAAACATTCTTTCAGGCAGAACATGAATCCCTACATTTTAAAGATGAAAACTGATATGGATTGTAATATGCTGGATGAGAATAAAGTGGTCATATAATCATTACCAACAGATCACCCAGGGCCACTGTGTGAAGGAAGACTATAAAGAGGTTCTTTTTCAGTCAATAAAAAGGTTGATTGTCAAGGAGAAAAAACTGCGTTCCACAGTCTGGATGACCATGAAAAAGACGGAGTAAATGTGAACACCTGCTTTCCCAAGATTTATTAGAACTTGTTTCTTTGAGTTCTTAACTTAAGGAAGCTTTGTAAAAACAGAAATGTACTTTTGGTAGATAATTCACACAAAGTATTTTTAAAATTTATTTAATTTTTTATTAGTTACAGTTTATTCACTTTGTATCCCAGCTGTAGCCCCCTAGCTAACCCCCTCCCAATCTCGCCCTTCCTTCCTCATCTCCTCCCATGCTCCTCCACAAGTCCACTGAAAGGGGAGGACCTCCTCCCCTTCCCTCTGACCTTAGCCTATCAGGTCTCATCAAGATTGGCTGCATTTTCTTCCTCTGTGGCCTAGTAAGGCTGCTCCCCCATGAGTGGGAGGTGATTAAAGAGCCAACCACTGAGTTTATGTCAGAGATAGTCCCTATCCCATTTTTAGGGTACCTACTTGGATACTGAGCTACCATGGCCTACTTCTGTGCAGGGTTTCTGTGCAGGGGAAAGGTCCTTGGTTGGAATATCAGTCTCAGAAAAAACACCTGGGCCCAGATTTTTTGGTTCTGTTGCTCTCCTTGTGGCGTTCCTGTCCCCTCCATGTCTTTCTGTCTCCCCATTCTTTGGTAAGATTCCCTGCACTCTGCCCAAAGTTTGGCTATGAGTCTCAGCATCTGCTTTGATACCTTGCTTGGTAGAGTCTTTCAAAGACCCTCTGTGCTAGGCTCCTGTCCTGTTCCCTGTTTTCTCCCTCTTCTGATGTCCATTCCATTTAGCTTTCTGAGTGAGGATTGATTATCTTACCCAGGGTCCTCCTTCTTGCTTAGCATCTTTAGGTGTACAGATTTTAGTATGTTTATCCTATATTTTATGTCTAATATTCACTAATAAATGAGTATATACCATGTGTGTCTTTCTGCTTCTGGGATACCTCACTCAGGATGATCTTTTCTAGTTCCCACCATTTGCCTGCAAATTTCATGATTCCTTGGTTTTAATTGCTCAGTAGTATTCCATATTCCACTGTCATCAGAACAAAATGACAGCTAATATGCAAAATATATAAAGAACTTAAGAAGTTAAACACCAACAAACTGAGTAATCCAAGAGGGCCTCTGAAACACTCTACCTAGCAATGTATCAAAGCAGATACTAAGACTCATAACCAGACCTTCAACAGAGTGTAGGGAATCATATGAAAGAAGGGGGAGTTAGGATGACATGGAAAGGATAGGAGCTCCACAAGGACCAATATATCTTGGCATAGGGGTCTTTTCTGAGACTGATACTCCACCAAGGACCATGTATGGATATAACCTAGAACCTGCGGTAGATCATTAACCAATTGATTTCCCATAGTAAGGGGAACAGGGACTATTTCTGACAGGAACTCAATGGCAGGCTCTTTGACCTCACCACCCCCAAAGGAAGAGCAGTCCTGCTAGGCCACAAAGGAGGACTTTGCAGCCAGTCCTGAAGATACCTGATAAAACAAGGTCAGATGAAAGGGAAGGAGGTCCTTCCCAATCAGTGGACTTGAAAAGGAAAGGAGCAGGGAGGAGATGAAGGAGGTAAGGAGGGATTGGGAGGGAATGAGGGAGCGGGATACAGCTGGGATACAGAGTTAATAAAATGTAACTAATAATAAAAATTAAAATAAATAAATAAATAAATAATGGGGTACAGAGCTAAACAGAGAAATCTCAATAGAGGAATATCCAATGGCAGAAAAACACTTAAAGAAATGCAAATCAAAACAACTCTGAGGTTTCACCTTACACCCAGAGTGACTAAGATCAAAAACTCAAGAGACAACACATTCTGGAAAGGATGTGGAGAAAGGGGAACACCCCTTCATTGCTGATAGGAATGTAAACTTGTACAACCACTTTGGAAATCAATCTGGTGCTTTCTCAGACAATTTGGAATGGTGCTACCTCAAGATCCAACTATACCACTCCTAGGCATATACCTAAATTATGCTCAATTATACAAGGACATTTACCAACCATGTTCATAGCAGTTTTATTCATAATAGCCAGAATCTGGAAACAACCCAAATGTCCCTCAATGGAGGAATGGATACAGAAATTGTGGTACATTTACACACACAGTATTTTAAATCAATACCTGTTTGTTTTCTTTACTATATGAACAGCCTGGATATTGGCAAGCTAGCTGTTCAAAGTATTATAGCTATTCAGGACACAGAATCCTCCAGCTTGACTTGGCTCCCTGTATCTGTTAGACCCAGGCAATAGAAATTAGAATGAGGGACAAGGGTATACTTTTGCCACAGCACAGGTTTGTTGTAGTTTTTCTTCTTAAGTTAAAAACATGTCTTTCTTTCCAGGCCTGCAGTCTGTTGTGGTGACACTGGCCCAGTGTTTGAAGAAACTACTGGGTGCCATTGTCCTAACTCTGTTTTTTCTGACTGTGTTTTCACTACTCGGGATGGGTCTTTTCATGGGCAACCTGAAGCACAAATGTCTGCGATGGCCCCAAGAGAATGAAAATGGTACCCTGCACAATAAAACTGAAATCCAGTCCTATATTCCAGGTAAGAGTGACTCCATCTAATGATGGAGAAGTCTTTAGAGAAATGAACACTCCATTTCTGGGCAAATTATAAATCTTGTAACTGTACTCAAGAACTAAGTTGAATATGGTTTTCTTTCTTTCTTTTTTTAAACCAAAAGCAAATTTTTCAGTTTTTAGACAGATGATCAGGAGAACATAAATTTTTTAAAGCCATGTAAATTTTATTTTTAAATTTACTCCAAGGAGCGTAAAGTTCATCTTTTTTACTATTATTTAAAAAATTATTTATTTAAATGTAAATCTTTAATTTTTCTGTTACAATGTGTGAGATTACTTTAAGAGTCAGAATATCACTTTAGTGTAGAAATGCACTGGTTAGATTTCCATTACTGTATTTTAAAATACTTTTAGTCCTACTTTTTAAAGTAAGGCAAACATTTGAAACAGAAAGCAATAAATAATAATAATACATCCCAGTATCAGATATCAGGAAATACATGTGTAATCAACATAATTCTTCAGGAGAGACATAGGAATGGCTGTGCTACCCTCATCAACAGAACAGGAAAAGAGGGGAATTAAATGATGTTCCGGGATTTTATAACTACTAGGCAGGGAGTCTAGCCGGGTTAAGACTGCCTTAAATTCATATGGCTTTTCACCAGGCAATAAACTCATATTGAATTCTGCTCCAATTTTAGACCTCCACTGACAATATTTAGGGAATATGTCTGTGTTTGTGTATTAAGAGGCTTTAATCATTTTAATCTCATGCAGTATATATATATATATATATATATATATATATATATATATATATATATTGTGTACCATCATCACGAGAGGAATTGTAACAATGGAGCTCCTTGGTCAACTGCATAGTATGATTGTGCTGAAACATGGAATTTTAAGCATGTGAACATGCTAAATGTTTCATTTCTTATCTGTTTATATCCCCAAACTAAATCTGGTGCTGAAGATCAAGGAATGTGCACATTAAATCTGTCCTAACTGAAATACCCACTGTTGGTTGGTTGGTTGGTTTGTTTGATGTAATAACTAAAATCTGATACTATTTAAAGTAAACAAATATTGCTCCTTTATTGGATATTGATAAAATAAAGATAAACAAACAAACAAACCAGAACTCTGGTTCTTTCCATTTTGTTCAAGCACAATATTGTAATTTAAAAAACCTTAGTTTAGCACCCCAAAAAGCCTGTCAATCTCTTCCATTTTGTCAACAACACATTAAGAACTATAGGTAATGTATTTATGAAATATTTTAACACAATTACTATGCATAGTTCTTTCATATAAAAGTATTTTTAAGATCACCCAATGTTATTGACATCAAATTTCATTTGTGATTTGATTGAAGCTCAAAAAATCAATAGTGTATAATCTTTATGATTTAAAAATTTATAAAATTATTGTAGGTGCCCAGTTAAATTCACATTAGTTTGGACTGAAGTAATTTATGCTTATTTAGTGCACATACACACATACACACACACACACACACACACACACACACACACACACAACTTTTTTCTCCCATAGTTTGGATCCTGTGATTTAAATTTGGAACAGACAATGCAATGTTCCTAATCCTGCCTATTCATAGCTATAGTACCTAATATCTAGAAATACGATGTATATTCATTAATAGCAGTTCAGCATGTGCTAACATATTGTGTAGGTTATGAAGTACAGTAGCAAAGTTTGTGGTTTCAATTAACACATCACGGGCACTAGGCACTCAATACAGAAAGGCCATCTCCAGTTAGAAGAAGCAGAGGATTCTGGCCTCAGTTCAGGCAAATCACCAGGAATAAACTTTAGAAACGTAATCTGAGGTGTCTTCCTTCACCAATACTGTCATGTGTGGCTGTTTTATTCATTTTTCCTGACGTTTGTATTTCTCTTGTGCTCAACAACAATTTTAGAACAGCAAAGCACCTGTGTTCTCAAAGGTTCCTGGCATGTCATGAGATGGCAGATTAAAAAGCAAGGGTTTCCTCTTTTCTCTCAAGGACATAGGCAGACAGGTGTCTCCTGTGGAAATTAGGACAGGTTTCATGTGGCTGATTCCAGAATAATTGTAAAGCCTCATTCATTCATTTCTTTCTTTCTTTCTTTCTTTCTTTCTTTCTTTCTTTCTTTCTTTCTTTCTTTCTTCCTTTCTTTTTCAGAAAGAGAAAACTTCTACTATTTGGAAGGCGAGAGAGATGCCCTCCTTTGTGGCAACAGGACCGATGCAGGGTAGGTGGGGTCAATGCTCTCTGATAGCATGTAATCATCACTTACTCACTGAATGAATATTTGCTTCACTAATGTTCACAGTTGCCCACATTTTCCCACTTCGTTATCAGAGCTATTCAGAATAGCTGTCGTGTTCTTTCTGAGATGTTTCTCACAAAATTCCATAGATATCAAGTCTTAGAAACAACAGAAATGCATTTCTCTGTTGAGCAGATTTAAATCTTCAGCTCCAGGTACCCAAGGCTTGCTCTCTTGGCTCATAGAAGGTGCCTTTTTGCTGTAAACTCACAGCAGAAGTGGGACAAAGTCTCTCAGATTTACTCTGTAAAAGCATTAACCGAACACATGAGACCTCATTTTGGTCTACTCCGTCATTAAAACCCCCACCTGATACTACTATAACCATGAGGCAGAATTCCAAAATATCAACTTTGAACAAAAGCAGAAATGTATAGTATAAAATACCATTATGCAATTTTCCAGAAAAGCAATAGGTTGATTAATGAAGTGACTTATTCTAGCCTAAGAATCTAGAATATCACAAGGCTGCAACTCCAGCAGAGATGATTTATTTTCAGTGCATCCCGGCACCCGCAATTAACAAAACGTAAGTTACTTCTCTTTAAGAGCTTTAAAAAAAGAATTATCAAAGATTACTGTAATTTTCCTTATTTTTGTCTATATGCATTATATATTACATTAATAAAATTATTTTTAAAAACCATTAATAAACAATAATTCAACAAGGTAACATTATTCTTATGTATTACTACTATAGACTTTTTATTACACACACACACACACACATATATAGATATAGATATAGATATAGATATATACTCTTTTTATTACACACACACACTAATATGGGGAGGTAATTTACCATGGAAATTAAAATAACAACTTGTAGGAGTTGATCCTCTCTTCTATCCTATGAGTCCAGAGCCTGGTGGCAAGTGACTTAACCCTCGCAGCCACCGCACTGGCTGTGTCCTGTAGAGTATAGCTGAACAAATAAGAAAAAGAGCAAGAAGCTGCCGCCCCGCCATGTTGACTTAGAAGTGGTCCTTAATGCTTTGCTCTCCGTAGAAATGATGCTCCATCCGTTCACAGTGCCCTTTCTTCTTCGTTTCTAACACTGACATTCTGAGAACCGGTTAGGACACTGGGGAAGTGTCCTAGAGCACAACTGTTCAAGAGCACACTTGAACAGTTGATATAACCCTGGGTGATTCAGAAGTGTTATCACGTAGTTTACATTCTAGCCTCTGATCCAGAATCTGGACCCTTCTCTTTGTAACATCTTATTTGGTAGCCTTCCACTTTAAATACATCCCGCATGCCTTGTGAAGAGATCTATGAATAGAAAGACCATAATATTATATTTCAGGGCAAGAAATAAAAGACATATGGTGTTTTTTCACCTCTAACACCATAGTTAGCAGCGGGATGGGCCACCTCAAATCATTAGATGAATGAATATGACAACCAGTATATCTTTACTCTGACTCTTAGGATTGCAGTATAGAAAGCCTCCATGCACAGTCTTCAAACCACCTCTTCCAGTATATGTCTAAAGTGTGTGGCATGGCCAGCCCCAAAATAATGTCAGGAGAAGGGCTAAGCAGAAGCCTTGGACAGGAGAAAATAGGATTTATTGAGCCAATATCATAATAACGAACCACAATTACTCCAACCTTAACATAGATAAAAGTTTGAGAACTCCCTGAAAGGGAAGGAAATAAATATTTAATGTGCTCTTTTCCCAAGTGCTAGCTCTATTTTTCAATTATTAATGTGACAAATGTTTTCTCACCCTTAAATAGTGGGAACTAAGAGTCTGAGGTGAGATCACTTGAAAAAGTAAGCCTTCGAATATTGTAGTTTATTTTTATCAATGCTATTTTCTAACATTTATACTTTCACGATGACATTCAGAGAGTTTCCCATCTTCCTATCTCTCTCCCTATCCCTCTGCTGTCTTGATTTTTATGGCATTACAGCATGAACTGAAGGACTCAAAAGACAAAACGGTTTATCACAGACTAAAACTTCCAGCTTCTCTAATTTGATTTTGAGCAGCAAAAACATGAATAATGACAATACGTTATATTCTTGGAATTGGTAACTATTCTTGCCACAATGAACTATACATATGTTTGCCTTGTTTAGACATTTAGCAATGTATTAATGTTCAAAGTATATATTTGGCGAATATATACATTTGTCCAATTTAAATCAATCTTTAAAGAATGGCTTTTTGAAAGCTAATTTGAGCATACTTACAATTCTCTTTCATTACTTTACATGTGCATCATGAAATATAACTTCATTTTTAGTGCTTTGTGTAAAAAAGAAAATTGATTACCTTCATGCAAGGGGCTCTTTCTATGTTCTTGAGGAGGATATAGATAGCATTTATTTATTTGTTTGTTTGTTTATTTATTTATTTATTTATTTATTGTTTTTACATTTTTCCCGCCTCCCTCCCTCTTCTCCTCCCATGCCCCTCTACAAGTTGACTGATAAGGGAGGTCTTCCTTCCCTTCTATCTGACCCTAGCTTATCAGGTCTCATCAGGACTGGCTGCATTGTCTTCCTCTGTAGCCTGGTAAGGCTGCCCCCCCCCCCCCCCGCCAAACTCAGGGGGAGGTGATCAAAGAGCCAGCCACTGAGTTCATGTCAGAGACAGTCCCTGTTCCCATAAGTTGGGAACCTAGTTGGACACTGAGCTACCATGGGCTACATCTGTACAGGGGTTCTAGGTTATCTCCATGCATGGTCCTTGGTTGGAGAATCAGTCTCAGAAACTACCCCTATGCACAGAATTTTTGGTTCTGTTGCTCTCCTTGTGGAGCTCCTGTCTCCTCCAGGTCTTTTTATCTCCCACTTCTTTCATAAGATTCTCTGTACTATGCCCAAAGTTTAACTATGAGTCTCAGCATCAGCTTTAATACCCTGTTGGGTAGTCTTTCAGAGGCCCTCTGTGGTAGGCTCCTGTCCTGTTCCCTGTTTTCTCCCTCTTCCAATGTCCATCCTGTTTGCCCTTCTGAGTGAGGATTGATCATCTCACCCAGGGTCCTCCTTCTCGCTTAGCCTATGTAGGTGCACAGATTTTAGTAACTAACTGTTTACCCTGTTAGTCCATTGCCTGAAAGATATTTGATATCAAACATTTCTTCCTTTCTTTGTCTCCTTTAGCCAGTGTCCCGAAGGTTATGTGTGTGTAAAAAAGGGCACGAATCCTGACTATGGCTTCACGAGTTTTGACAATTTTGGCTGGGCCTTACTTGCTATGTTTCGATTGATGACCCAGGATTATCCTGAATTACTTTATCACCAGGTAAAAAAGATAATCTGAGATAATCTGCATATGTTAGCGGTATCTTCTCCACCCTCGCGTAATACAGGACAAATGTTAAGTCAAATTCTTAAAAAGAAATTGTGACCATGCACACACACCCCCACAGTATGTACAAGGTGCATTGTGTAAAGAAGAATTCAGGGACAGAAGCAAAGACTTACAGCTGCTGAAGGTGGAAATCTCCATCAACTCCTGTGCCCTGACTGTGTTTGGTTTTTGATATTTTATCTTTACAGCAATGCTCCAAGGTCGATGCATAGACCCTCGTTTACAAGGCTTTCGCTTAGGACATTGCTCTTTACAGCAGTGCCAAGTGAGAGCATTCCACAGAAGCACACTCAGATTTTAATTCTGACCTTTCCTATTGCATCTTAAAACGTCTTCCTCATGCTGAGCAGTGGCATGCTCGTCACCACCAGCCATGCAGTCCCATCGGAAGCAGCCATCTGCTGTGGTGTGTGTGATCCTACTAATCTGTTTGTCAGGTCAGCCACAACCAGTGCACATGCCATTTACACACTTTCAGCCCAACATGAATTTATTTAGACATAATATCATATTCAATTGAAGAACGTCTGTTTACTTATTTGTTTATATATAAGATTTGAGTGGGTGGAATGATGTCTCCAAATTTCCAAATGTAAGCACTGGAGCTCACCTTCTTCCTCCAAAGGGTGTGATGCTGACATGTCAGTACATGTGAAACATACAATGAGCATTTAACTATTGAGTAAAAACATTGTGAGCCTATGAGATTGGTACACATTAAGCAATAATTTGTTAGGTAAATGTTTCTATTTTCTTTTATTCTATTTTATTCTTTCCACTTAAATACAAAATAGTTTTCCCTTTGTGATAACAGACATCTTATTGTTATGAACACAATATCCAAATTTTAAGGATTTGAATTCATAGCTACTTTTGTGTAGCAGTCTCCCAGAAGGGATAATACTGTAATAGAGATTGGGAGTTCCTTTAAAGACCATCTCCATTACCATGAAATATGTGATGTTATGAGAAAAGCAGGATAGTTAATATCAAAAGATATTAGAACAAAGAATGGTCACTCTAAATTCTAAACATTCTGAAGAGTTGAGATTATGGTGTTTTACACTACTTTATGTGCTGTTACTCAGATTGATATAATCACATGTCTGAGCCCCCTGAGGTGGGGGCCAAGGATAGACCAAAATCCAGTTCCACCAGGGTCTTTATGCATCATGGTTACAAGTCAAATTGCATTCTGAGATTTTTGTTTGTTTTTTTTTGTTGTTGTTGTTGCCGTTGTGGTTTTGTTTTTTGAGACAGTCTCTTTGAATAGCTGGCTGGCCCTGAGCTTGAAGATATCTACTTGTTTCTGCCTCCTGAGAGCTGGGCAAACGTGTCTGCCAAAATAAGATAAAATAAAATGATGAAAATGCTGCACATAACATTTTGTTTTGTTTTGTAAGCTGATTTTCTAACTTCATTATGTTAGTGTTTACATTTTTATTTTCTAACATTTTTGATGTGGTTTTGCTTCTTCTGTAGCACTCAGAGCTTTTTATTTCTAAGAGTGTTCTTCATATTTTACTAAATTAGCCTCCCTCATAATCTTTTTGTATTTTTGTTTTGGTCTTTGGACTTTTGTTCAAAGGCCATATGTGTAATACAGTGTGCTTTAAGGCTGTATTTGATGATGGAATAAGACATTTCCTGAATGGTCCTTTATTGTAGTTGCTTCCACATATATTTTAAATTCCACAAGAATTAATGTTTCCTTCTCTCATGATTAAGAGTCAGAATCTCGGGTTTTCAGTTACTTCCCCCTGGAGGGACTGTCTTTCCAGGCCACAGTGGAAGAGGACATGCTAAGCTCTGATATGACTTGATGAGCTGAGGTGGATGGGAAGAGGGGGCTCCCCTTTACCGGGAAATAAGGAAAAGAGGTGGGGGAGAGAGGGAAGGTAGGACTGGGAGGTGAGGAGAGATAAGACCAGGATGTAAAGTGACTTAATTAATTAATTAAAAAATAATCAGGTTTCCTTTTGGGTTTCCCGTTCACTCCTTTCAGAGAGAATGCAGATCCCTATGATATTCTATTTTGAATATCTGTTCAGGTATTTCCCTCCGTAGGAAGCAAACTTCCCCAAAAGGATTTTGATTATTATTATTATTATTATTATTATTATTATTATTATTATTCGTTTTAAATCCCCAATTAGCCCCTTACTCCTCACCTCCCTGACCCACCCTTCTTCCTTCTTCCCACCACCCCCTTCTTCCCTACTCCTTAGAAAAGGGGAGTCCCCTTACTAACACAACCCCAGCACATCAAGTCACATTAGGACTAAGCACATCCTCTTCCTCCATGGCCTGGTGAACTGCCCCACCAGGAGAAAGTGACCAAAAAGCAGGCAACAGAGTCCATGTCAGAGGCAGCCCTTGCTCCCTTTACTAGAGACCCATATGAAGACCACGCTGCCCATCAGCTGCATATGTGTAGGAGACCTAGGTCCAGTCCATACAGGGTCTTTGGTTGGTGCTTCAATCTTCACAAGCCCCCTACGTCTTGGTCAGTTGGTTTGGATGGTCTTCTTGTGGAGCTGCTGTAAGTCTCAACATCTGTTTCTATCCATTGCTGGATGTAGGGTTGCTGAAGATATCTTCCCAATCGGTAGGCTGCCATTTCGCTCTACTGACAGTGTCCTTTGCCTTCCAGAAGTTTTTCAGTTTCATGAAGTCCCATTTATTAATTATTGATCTGAGAGCCAGAGCTGTTGGTGTTCTGTTCAGGAAGTTGTTTCCTGTTCCAATGAGCTCAAGGCTGGGTTTATGTTGAGGTATTTGATACACTTGGACTTCAATTTGTGTAGGGTGATAAATATGCATATATTTGCATTTTTTCTACATGTAGACATCCAGTTAGACTAGCACCATTTGTTGAAATGCTATCTTTTTTCTGCTGTATGGTTTTGGCTCCTTTGTTAAAAATCAAGAGTCCATAGGTGTGTGCGTTTATTTCTGAGTCTTTGATTCGATTCCCTTGATTAACTAGTCTATTTCTATGCCAGTACCATGGAGTTTTATTACTATTGCTCTATAATACAGCTTATTTTCAGGGATAGAGATACTTCCAGAAATTATTTTATTGTACAGGATTGTTTTAGGTATTCTGGGTTTTTTGTTTTGTTTTCATATTCCATTTAGAATTATTATTTTCAAGGTCTGTAAAGAAATATGTTGTCATTGCTTTTTTTTCCCCTAAATTTAGGAAAACAACAGTAAGTTATGTTGTAAACTACATCAACCTGTTTGCTAATGAAGGCCTTATTTTTTTTTTTAAACATCCAAGGGTTTGTTATAAAACTGCCTAGTTAGCATTATTTTAAAGTCAACCCCATGGCTCTTCAAGTGAAAAAGGAACAGAATCTGGAAGGTATTCAGGCTTGGAGTCTATTCCTGACTTTCATTTCTGGTCCTAAATGCTAATTGCTTTGATTTGTTGATAGATTTTGCCTTGCATTCCCTAACCTCAACTGGTCAAGGCTTGGGTATGTTGTAGTTGTTACCAAAAAGTACACCTCATGTACTTTTGGCAATATTAAGGCAATTTTAAGTTTGTTCCCTGAATTCCTTGAGACACCTTAGCAAAACTCATGAAAAGAGTTAAGAGTATAGTTAACATTTATTTTGGATCTGCTGTGTGCCAAGGTTTTTTATGAATTGCTTCATTTTATCCTCATATCTGTAACTACTCTATAAAATCAGTTCTAGAATTAGCCAATCTTATACTGCAGCCTAATAAAACAAGAATTTCCTCTTTATTATGCTAACAAGGATGCATATTTTGAGTCTGGATAGATGGTCCACACCTGTAATGCCAGCCACTGTAGCAGGAAGATTGTAAATTTGATGTTAGCGTGCCTGAGCTATATAAGAGCCCCTGTCTTAAAAAGGAGAAGGGATTTTGTAGTTGGTTAAGCCTATATTATAGTCATATGTTAAAAATATAATCTGTTAAAGTGCAAATATTGTGAACAACATTTCCACAGTCTGACTATTTATGCCTACTGAAAATAATATCAAGTATCACATGCATGTGTTATTGGATAAGATAACAAATATATGATCCTTTTATTGCCCTTGGCCTGTAGCAAATGCTAGACTATTCAATTCTTGACACTAAATGTGTTAGTGTTAATAGCAACTACTACGCAGTAAAACCATTTACTCAAATCATGAATAACTGTCCCAATGTCCTAACATGTTATTAAAATCACTTTTAAAGGCTAACATGTTCTAAGTAAATAAGATGTTGTTTCAGTATACATTTGGGATTTCCTACTGTTCTAAAACCATCTTTAATTTTCTATAGCCACAAAACATCATCTGTAGATAAAATTTTCTATTTATTCAAATGTATGCTTAAAAATCAAATAATTGTTTTCTTTAGTTGTGCTCATATGTATTAATCAGTTGTATTTTCTACTGACATTTTTTTAAATTTGTTTTGACCTAGCATATGTAATTATTATGAAATCAAAGCTAATCATGTTCAGTAACATAAAATTCGATATCCAACTATCCTTAAATATTTCTTTCTGTGCTTATGTCACATAAATCTCCCGTATCCTAATCAGTTTTCTCTGAAGAAGTTTTCAGAGCGAGTGCTCTTATGCTCTGAGACACACGTCTTCTATCATCCAGGATTTGCACATTGTTACTCTTCCATAAATTAATGATTTTTACGACTGCTTAAAAGTCTTTCTATACTTAAAAAAAAAAAGAGAGCATTTTTTGTATTGGTATTTTCCAGCTTATGGCATGGGTCGAGATTTTTTCTTGGTGTGTTTACTCTGGTAATGAATATGACTCAAGTGCTCACACTAAATTAAGGGGATTCATCATTTTATCTCCTGACTGCTAGCATATACCTTATATCTTATATGTATATCTAAAGTTGAAGCACTTTTTATTGATTTCCTAAATAAATACATAAATTATACTTTGATTATATTGCATTTATAATTAAACAACTTCTCTAAGAAAATTTTGTTTTTCATTTTTACATAAATAATATCAAAAGATAATGGTGTTTCTCTCTCTAACTTATGTGTTTCACCTTTCTGCAGATCCTTTATGCTTCAGGAAAGGTCTACATGATATTTTTTGTTATGGTCAGTTTCTGGTTTGCCTTTTATATGGCAAGTTTGTTCTTGGGCATAGTCACAATTACCTATGAAAATGAAAAGCAGAGAACATCTAAGAAATCCGAAGACACAGAACCTAAATTTCAACAACCTGGGAAAGAACACGAGGAAAGAATGGAAACAGCTGAGGTATAAATTTCTGCTTTTAAGATTCCAAATATTAGAAGACTGTCTTCAAGTCTTGGAGTGTATGGCTTTCTGACGGACGGTCATATCTGTGCATGGCATACTATCAGAAAAACAAGTGCTTTGGTTGGGGCTGGTCAGATGGCTATTCAGTTAAAAGCATGCACTGCTCTTGAAGACGTGTGTGTGTCATGCTCAGTATTTATGTCAGTCAGCACAATCTCCTGAAACTGCGGCTCCAAGGGACTCTGACATTCTCTTCTGAACTCACAAACACACATACCCAATGAACACAAACAGTGCATACATGCTCACACACACACACACACACACACACACACACACACACACACTGACTCACCCACACATAGGACCACTCCATTAAAAATAAAATAAATATTTCATAATGTGTTTTCATTAAAGAAGACTCACTTTTGCTTTCTTTATTCTTCTGTGTGTATGTGTTCTTTTTAATATAATGTGGTGAGAATGGCCAATGTATTTAAATATTTCATAGGTAAAATTGTTGACCCAAATTTCCAATACTTCTGTTGAGAAATTCTTGACATGTTGTGCTCTTATAACTTGACTTTTTTCTGAGAGATAAAGTTAGAAAAGAAAATAAACACATAAATAAATCTGCTCAAGAAGCAAGGGATTATTTTACCCAAGGATGATCAAATCCATTATAATAAAATTAATAATATTTTAGTGTGATTTAGAATTCCCCTATTCTACTTAAATAATTTTCAGATTGTTGGCCACCTATAAAAATTCAATCTGTGAATCTGAAAGTATTAGCAGAAGTGATGTTCAGGACATTATGTGACAACCTTTTAAAAGTTAATTGCCTATGCACTTGTGAACAGGAATGAGGACTGGAGGAATGCATCAAGGAGTAGCTTCTGGCATTTCAGGTGATCACACCCCTTCTTTGAAATGCTTTTCAGGAAGACTGGGAAAAGGTCAAAATTGAGACAGAAAACAAAAGGTAGAGAGAAAATACATTAGGAAATTCTTGTATAAAAACAGTAGAATATAGGTGGGGGAAAGAGGAAGGTCAACAAGCAGTTTGACATGAGTTAGTAATTGGAGGAAGGGTAGCTGTGAGCTTCATTGGTAGAGAGGTCCCTTCTGAGTTGAAGCAGCTGACGGCTCACTCCTTCAACCAAGCAACAACCATCACTGAACATACTCTGGGACATAACTGTACCCGAAGTGGCATTTGAATAGCAGGATATCAGCATGTACCCGATGACTTTGTAGACTCTTGTGTCTGCATGCCTTTGAACAAAGAGCAATTATGGACTGTATGAACAAAACATGTACCAGAAAAAAGAGGCTATTAACAATCGTAAGTAAGTCACAAGAAAGCATATTACAAAAGATTTCTGTGTCTGAGTCCCGAGTCCTTCAGATTGAACTTGAAGGGTCTGAAGGAAATGTTGACTGTGTAATTTGTTTTCAAGTGGCATTTCAGAAATTCAAGAGCTTGCCCTCCATCCCAGCGTGCCCAACAGCTTAACAATTCTTCTCTTATTCTTAGATCAAGTGTTCTATTAGCTTTGTTTATGAAATAGCTCTGATTATGAAAGGGCTTTGATTATGAGAGAGCTTTGGCATTTCCTGGTATCTTCTCTCACTTTGGTAAAATTTAGTTGTAGTAAAACTTTCCTGCTTTTTATTAAAATCTTTCAGTTCTGAAGATTTGTTTTCCTGGAAGAGTCTTAGAATGTTTCTCATGTAGAGTTTTCTGGAAAAGGAATATAAAATTCATTTTTATAAGATCTCTTTTCTTTTTCTATTTCTTTATGTAAAATAGCATGTCATAACATTCAATTACTAAATGTTCTTTTGTAATTAGGTCAAGCTCAAACCCTAAAGATGGATTTAGAAAGAGATGGCCTACATGAACAAATTCTCCTACTATAGGAAATCTGAGAATTTTCTTGGCTAAAAGCAGAGTGATACCATCAGACAAATGTGGGCTTCAGTTCCCTTTAGCTACATAATAGGTGCATGATATTCACCAACCCTATTAGTTTTGTGAAACATCAGCTTCTTTATCAATAAAATGTGTGTCATTTATAGTATTTATCACACAGGTGGTATGAAGTTCAAATGAAACACATACAAAAGGGCTGTGTGGTGATTTAACATTTTTAGAGAGCAAAAACATGTTGGTAGGTTCGTCATCAGTATCATAGAGCATATAAAAGATAGTCTTGATGTAGTTGAGACTGACCTGGAACTTAACAAGGCAGTTCACCACGATCATAAAGTCATCCTCCTCCTCAGGATGCATCCTGCTGCAATTACAGACTTGAACACCTGATATTTAAAACAATACATGACACTTATAGGAAAAAATACCCTCCTGTTATATATAAACTAGTTCATAAGAATATAATGTTAACTTTATGAAACATTTACTACTTAGTTTATGCCATTCTCTTTGCAAAAAGGCTTAACATATATTATAACACATTATACTCGTGCCAATACTTTGAGACATAGTTCCAAAAAAAAAATCTCCAATGAGCAAAATTGAGGGTTAGTTTCCAAGTGATGTGTGTGACATATTAAACCAGATGCTATAAATGCTTATAGTTGTTTTTATTCAAATTTGATTTACATCTAATAATGATGATAAAGAATCAGAGATTAATTATAGAGAATAACTGAATGGAAATTTTAAAACCCGGAGTAATTTGAATGGAGAAAAGTACATCAACATAAAAGCTTTACACCTTTGGCTGTATTTTGGCATTATTTTAAATAGTAACATTAATGGCAGCATATAAAGTCTGTTTCTGCTCCGGAACTGTTGAATTCCAGAGTGTGATTCTTGTTGAAGACTGACAGGTGCAAATGTTGATCAGGACACCCTGGTACTGGACTTTTCACCAGTAGGGAGTAGAAGCCATGGTTCATCATTTGACTACCTAGTTCTCCTGAAGGAAAACTTGTATTCTCTTACGGGTTCTTAATCTTGTTGAGAAGATTTTACAGATAGGGACAGGGAGATGGCTCAACACATAAAAGTGCTTGTCATACAATCCTGATGATCTTATTCTGAGCTTTAAAACCCATGTAAAAGTGGATGGAGAGAACCAAATTTGCAAAGCTCTCCTCTTACTTCTGCACATGGAGTTACTTACACACACACACACACACACACACACACACACACACACTCATACACATACCATATCACAGACATACACACAAACACAACATATCACACACATACACAACACATCACTCGCATACACAACACAACACACACATACACACACAGTTTCCAGAAACTGAAAACAGATGTAGAAAGAAACTCTAGGCCAGTTTTATTGATAATAAAATAACAGGCAAGGCAAGATGTAAATCTCAGCAAAATGTAAATCTTAGAACATATCTAATTAATTTAAATTAGACTAGAATTAGAAGGAAGGGAATGGATACAAAGAAAAAAGAAACACTCCTCTTCTGTTAGGTAGAGAGTTGGGATACATAAGGAATAGAAAATGTTATGATTTTTTTAATTCAAACTCAGAAAAGTGGGACTGACATAGAGTGAGGATTTGCAAACAACTGCTTTTAAACTGGAGCTCCTAAAGGAAAAGTGGGCCGTCCCTTTAGCGGAACAGTTATTAGCCATCACTCTTCAGATGGACTAGCCGTTTTTAAGAACAAGGCTATGAGGACACACAGATTGATTAACTCTTAAGGTAGAAGACAATGGTATGAAATGTTCTAATATTGGGGACCAATCAGAATGTCATTTATCCATCCAGGGGAAAAGGTAGAATTCAGACTCCATTCTTTTGACCAGGTGGTAGTAGGTTCCATTAATGGATCTCAAAGAAGCTCTGATCCGTATTTCCGTCTAGTATTTTACAGGGGCATTTGTAAAGGTTCCTTTTCTAATGTCACTAGGAAAACAGGGGATGTGATCCAAAGCCCACCATGATGAAGTAGCTCATCATAAGTGGCCTATAATCTGTTGGACACTGTCTAGCTACCTAACAGCTCTTACGGGTCATTGCCAAAGCAGTATGATTCTAAAATGACACAGCTTGCATTGGTAATTCTCCTATACACCAATAGCCACTGGTAAAACTTCAGGAAAGGAAGGGAATATTTAAAAACCTGAGTAATGCAAGTAATTTGAGGGTACGTATAAGCTGACTTCCTTATAACATGTATCTAATTAATCTTAACAGTATTGCCAGTTCTTTAATAATGGAGATAAGATGTGATAACAGCTAATTGAAGTATAATATTTGCACAAACCTCTAGTCTAATAAGGATAAAAACTATGAAAACTGTCAGAAGCCCAGAGTTATCCCCAGGACAAAAGTAAATTATTTCATATTGTTGCCAGGAAACCCCATAGCACTATGCAATTATCTTTGTGCCAAAAACTGACCTAAGTCTAATGTACCTGTTAATCCAATTACCTGTCATTGAATGACCCTATGAGAGTCACAGATTAATTTAGGAGCTAAATCAAGAAAGTAGAGTCTTTCAGAGGCCTCTTGTGAAAGGCTCCTGTCTTGTTCCTTGTTTTCTCCTACTTCTGATGTCTATCCTGTTTGCCCTTCTGAGTGAGGCTTCAGCCTCTTCCCTAAGGTCCTCCTTGTTTAGCTTCTACAGGACTATAAATTTCAGTATGTTTATCCTATATTATATGGGTAAAATCCACTTATAAGTGAATATATACCATATGTATCTTTCTGTTTCTGGGATACCTCTCTCAGGATGATCTTTTTTAGTTCTCACCATTTGCCTGCAAATTTCATGATTTTCTTGTTTTTAGTTGCTGAGTAGTATTCTATTGTGAAAATGTACCACAGTTTCTGTAGCCATTCTTCAGTTGTTTCCACATTGTGGCTATTATATATAATGCTTCTATGGGCATAGTTGAACAAATGTCCTTGGTATATGGTTGAGCATATTTGGGATATATGGTTAGGAGTGGTATAACCAAAGCTTAAGGTAGCACTATTCCTACTTTTCTGAGAAAGCACCAGGTCATTTCAAAAGTGGTTGTAAAAGGTTACATTACCACCAGCATATTGAAGGAGAGTGAGACTCATAGCCAAACTTTGGGCAGAGCACAGGAAACCTTATGGAAGAAGAGGAAGATAGAAAGGCCTGGCGAGGCCAGGAACTCCACAAGGAGACAACAAAACCAAAAAACCTGGACCCAGGGATCCTGCAGAGACTGATACTCCAACCAAGGACCTTAAACGGAGAGGACCTAGACCCCCTGCTCTGAGGAAATCCATAGGCTACTCAGTTTTCAAGCAGGTTCCCTAGTGAGTGGAGGCATTGGCTATCTCTGACATGAACTCAGTGACTGGCTCTTTGATCATCCCCCACCCCTGGGGGGGGGGGATGCAACCTTGTCAAGCCACAGAGGAAGATGATGCAGTCAACCCTGATGATGCCTGTAAGGCTAGAGTCAGAAAGGAGGGAAGGAGGTCCTTCCATATCATTGGACTAGGGAAGGGGCATACAGGGAGAAGAGGGAGGGAGGGAGAGAGGAAGGGACTGGAAGGAGGAAAGGAAGGAGTGGATGGAAAAGTGGGAGGGGGATACAGCCAGGATAAAAAAATGAATAAATTGGAATAAATAAATAAAAAGAATGTAGAAAATTTTATAGTATAAGTGATCCAATGCTTTTAACATCTAAATCATGCGAGCCTTGATAGACCTGATAACCTAAGGTCAGATAGAAGAGAAGAAAGTCCTCCTCTATCAGGGGACTAGGGTAAGGGCATAGAGGGAGAAAAGAGAGAGAGGATGGGGCTGGGAGGAGATGAGGGAGGGGGCTACAGTGGGGATACAAAGTGAATAAATTGGAATAAATAAACAAAATTTAAAAAAAGTCTAAAAAGAACACAAGATCATTAAAATACCTTTAAGTACAATGTGTAAAACTTATTTGTATTTATTTGGAACAGATCAACTGTATTAGAATGTTTTTGAACAAAAGAGAAAGTTGAATATAAGAATCAGATATGGCATTGGAAAATATTACTAAATTATTGACTGTTTTTAGTGTTTTTCCAAATTTGTTTATTTGTGGAATTTTCTTTCAGTTGTATGTTTGGTAGAACACAAGTTCTTTTTATACAATAAAACTTATAATTTATTATTTTAGGCATTTTTGAGTTTAACAGCTTTTTGCTAGTTTTCTGCATAGACACTGTGTATTGTGATCATATCTATACCCGTTACCCACGTATCCTCCTATGAAATTACTGTGATTCGTTGTGATAATTGGAATTTTGATATTGTCCTTTTAGATATATCTAAAAATATCATGTCTATTTCACTTAAATATCTTTGGAAAATAAGAAGTGAAAGCCAGAGACGGTGGTATGTTATTAATTATTGAGACTAGGTTTGGGGTCATCTCCAATTCTTCCCTCTCCCACATAGGTAATTTTCTTAACTGGACTGCTCTTTGGTGTGATTCCACCAAATTGCTGCTGTCTGAAACAGCCTCATAAGGTCCATCTCTTGTGTCATAAGTGATCACTTGAGATATTATGAACTACACTCAAAAGTATTATCTTTTTTTTACTTTTTATTTTTTAATTAATTTCTTTTTTTATAAATTACAGTTTATTCACTTTGTATCCCAGCTAGTTCCCTCTCTCATCCCCTCCCAATTCCACCCTCCTTCCCTTTCTCATCTCCTCCCATACCCTCCCCAAGCCCACTGACAGGGGAGGTCCTCCTCTCCTTCCCTCTGACCCTAGCCTATCAGGTCTCACCAGGACTGCTGCATTGTCTCCCTCTGTGGCCTGGTAAGGCTGCTCCCCCTTAGGGGGGGTGATCAAAGAACCAGCCACTGAGTTCATGTCAGAGACAGTCCCTGTTCCCATTACTGGGGAATCCCTTGGAGACTAAGCTGCCATGAGTCTATATGCCTAAGAGTGCTCTAACTGGATCTTGAGGAAGCATTATTCCTAATTGTCTGAGAAAGTGCCAGATTGATTTCCAAGGTGTTTGTACAATCTGTCCTTAACATATGTACACACATACTCACACATACACACCCACATTCCCACCAGCAGTGGAGGAGGGTTCCCCTTTCTCCACATCCTCTTCAGCATGTGTTGTCACTTGAGTTTTTGATCTTAGCCATTCTGATGGGTGTAAGGTGAAATCTGGGGGTTGTTTTGATTTGCATTTCTCTGATGACTAAGGATGGTGAGCATTTCTTTAAGTGTTTCTCTGTCATTCAATATTTCTCTATTGAGAATCTGTTTAGCTCTGTACCCATTTTTTTAATTGGATTTCTTGATTTCTTGCTTTTTAACTTCTTGAGTTCTTCATATATTCTGGATATTAGCCTTCTGTCAGATATAAGGTTGGTGAAGATCCTTTCCCAATCTGTAGGCTGTCGTTTTTTTCTGATGACTGTGTCCTTTGCTTTACAGAAGCTTTTCAGTTTCATGAGGTCCCATTTATTGATTGTTGATCTTAGAGCCTGTGCTGTTGGTGAAGGTGATTATGTCAGAAGTCCTTGTGAGATCATCGAAAAAAAATCACTTCTGTTGGATTTTTCTATGGGATATAACTTCACCCTTACATAACCTTGTGATTCTACTAAAATATTTTCTTGAATATGTGTCGTCTGAGTGTACAACTAGCCTGACATACTAAATTTTAGTGTACATTTAACCTAATTATAACAGGGCAAAACATCATAGATCTGAAGACTCTCATTTTCCTGATGAAACTCAGTGTGTGATGTAGTTGGTCTTAATGTCTTCTGCCTCTATCAGCTCTGGAATTTGAGGAGAAATCATTGATGCTAAGGTGAATGCAGTGGTCTCATTGATCTCTATTTGGCTTCATCAGCTGTAATATCAGAACTTGTCAAATAGAAGAGTCTGGGATATTGGTAGACTGTGGCAGCTGGTCATCTCTAGACTTGGACAACAGTACATAGCATGACAGTTTTAACACTAGTGGGTTTGCACGTCAACATATTGTCTTGAGAGATTTCTTTGGTTCTTCTTGCAGTTGTTACAGTTGGGTGAAACTAAAGCATCCACACAAAAGCCTTTAGTTTTATATTCACTTTCTAATGCAAGAACTCTTTCAAAATTCTTTAAAAGACTGGCAAAGCACATCTAAACCTGATAGCCTGTGTTCCATCACTGGGACCCACATGGTAAGAAGAAAACTGATACCACAAATCTGTCTTTAACACACACACACACACATACACATACACACACACACATACACACACACACACACACACACATACACACACACACACACACACACACACACACACACCACTAAATAAATGTGAAACATATAAGAGATAAACAAAGCAGAGCATCTATTGAAAACTTTGCTGAAGAGACATGAGGTGCTGGAAGAAATGATTTCTTTATGGAGTTAGACTACTTCCAGTCATTATCTGTATCATGTATTCTATCCAAACAACCCTTTAAATCCATTCCACTGCCTTAGATTCTTCAAGATTTGTTTATTCATATATCCAAATAAATTTAATTTTATTGAGTGAATTAGCCATGTTATAAGATAAATATAAACTTAGAATATCCTTGAGCAAAAACATTGTGTCTTTAGGGAAATGTTCTCATTACTCAGTAGCATATTTGGCAAATGGATATTTCATAGTAATCCTATAATCATTTTAAATTGGTTTTTGAATATAAATAGTGCTGCCAGCATTTACTATCCTGCTCTATTTATTGTTCAGCACAGAGGGGAAATTTTGATGCCTTCCAATTTTAGCATGTATTTCTCAGCTAAATCTAAGTAATTCTAGTACATCCAATGCCAAAGGAAGAAGCCAGTGATGGAACACAGAGATCCTCTGGAAGCAAGAAGCTATAGAAAGGTCAAATTCTATATTGTGTTAAAGTTAAACTCTAACGGTATGAAGGTGGGGAGCTAGCTACTACTAAACCCATTAAACATCTTGTAGATGAAAACTACACAAATAGAAATGAGGAAAAGATCACCAACTTCTATAAACACCACATTGGATATACTGGAAGAAACTTCGCTTGGACACAAAGAAGGTAAAGTGGAAAAAACTACTTGTATCGTACTCAGTAATGGAGAAATGATTTGCAATACTGTTCTTAAATAATTGAGCAGTTCCTTTAGGATCTAGGTGAGAAAAGGTAAAATATAAGTAACAGCAATGAGTATATTAAGATGAGCAATGTATTAAAAACTCAGAATAACGTGCCCAACATCAGAAAGTGTCATTACAAGGCATCAAAAAATAATCACAGACACTCTGTGTGGTGCCATTTGCAGTTGAGAAAAATAGACGCAAATGTAGAAGGGTAGGATTAGACCACGGCTGTATGATATTAGTTTCAATATTAGCACAATCATTCTGTAACCACCTCCTGTTGCTGTTGCAATAGGCTGAGTCCAAATATCTTCTGAAAGTCTGTGCAGAGCTAGTCACCTGCACAGGAGCAGTCTGTCTTTTCAGTTAATTGCATATTGGCGTTTCCCGTGGTTCACAGCTATTTAAGCTCAGATAAAGCATGTAAAACATAAAGAATGTTAACTTACTCCTTATGTTAGTAAGTCTTCTGAACAGCTTCAGGCGGCCAACACTCCTGTGGGGTTGGGAAGTTGTATCTGGACTGTTGGTTGCAGAGGTCTTTGTCCTGATCTCATGTTGTATAAAATCATCTGTATAATTATGATATCTTGAGGTAATTGATTTACCTAGATTTTTGTTTTTATATCTAACCAATGGTTGTTTATCATAGTCCATATCAAGAGCTAGTATAATATAAAACATATAATCCAGAAATTGAAAAGCATGTTATTCTCACTTATACTTGATTTAGGAGAAATCTATGGTTTCCTACTAATACATTGTTTGCTTCATTAACAATACATTTTTCTAGCTCGATAATCATAAACAAAATAAGAGACATAGATTTCACTTTGCTATGCATCACTATATTATTTGTATTTGCTCATACCAGACACAAAATCAAGATGTGGGGCCCTTTGCCTGAAAATGTTAAATTTATCTCTCAAGGCTTTAAACAATTTTTCAATAACTGACTTTTCTCATCTTTCATTCTCATATTTCAGAACCAGAAACATCCAGGAAGAAATGCCCACAGTGCTGGTATAAGTTTGCTAAAACCTGCTTCATCTGGAAATGCTCTCCCTGTTGGATAAAACTGAGCGAGTTCGCTGATAGAATCATAACACACCCATTTGCTGATCTTTTCATTGTTATATGCATCATTTTAAACATCTGTTTCCTGGCTCTAAAACATTTTCCAATGAGCGAGGAGCTCATGTTTCTCCTCATCATTGGAGACTTGGTAGGAACTCATCGTTCATTGTTTTCATTCATAGTTTCAGGTTTCTATTTTCTAATTTTATTTTGTGATTGTTTTATCTTATAACCCCACAATGTTGCTCTAAGCATGGATTGAACTGGTATTGAATAAGCTGTTATGTTCATACCATGTTCACTTCAGCTCCTACATTGTAAATAGTTATCAACAGTTTTTCAATTAGAATTCAAAATTCTATCATTTAAATTTGGAATCCTATCCTGACACCTGGCATTAAATTAGATGGAAATGATTTATTGTTTAATCCTTCCCAAACATACATTCTAGGTATGGCTCTCCTATAATGAGCATAGTACAGGGGTGTGCTAATGACAACAGTAGGTTTCTTCAGAATCCTGAATCCTGAATACAGCGGTCCCTGGACCCATTTGTCCCAATTGTCTCACTTTAGATTGGTGCTTATCATTTTAACAAGGTGTTTTGAGATTCATGTATAGTTTATTTTTTTCTATACCAACACAAGAAACAAAATAGATTTCTATGGATTTATGAACGTTAACACTCAAGCAAATGTATGTTGCTTAAATCTCTTACCTGCTTTCATCACTTAGTTGCTAAATCCTATGCACCTACTTGATACTACAGTAACAGGATGCTGGAGCGATGCTCAGTGACTAAAGTACATACTGCTTTTGTGGAGGACCCTGAGTTCAGTTTCTACAGTTGTAGCACGCACATCAGTCAGCTCACAACTCTCCGTAATCCCCAGCTTCAGCAGGGATCTGACTCTTCTGGCCTTTGCCTGCAACTGTGTGTGCGCGCGCACATACTTTGTTTGTTTTGCGAGACAGGGTTTCTCTTTGTAGCGATGGTTGTCCTGGAATTCACTCTGTAGACCAGGCTGGCCTCAAACTCTAAGATCTTCCTGCCTCAGCTTCCTGAGTGCTGGGATTAAAGGTATATGGCACCACCACCCGGCCACACACACACACACACACACATACACACACATTTTTAATAAATAAATAGAATTATTAAAAACAATCGTGTTTCCCCTTCCTTCCCTTCAAACACTCCCATAGGCCCTCCCCACCCTCCATCAAATCCATGGCCTCTTTGTTTGACTAAGTTTTATTGCTTGCATGTATGTATATGCACACACATGGACTGCTTACACTCTTTTATGAAATGAATGGTTAGTGTCTCAATATATATTCTCAGTGTATATTCAAAGGGAATGTCTAAAATGTAATCACTTCTACTCAAATATGCATTTTCTTCAAGAATAGCTTTCATTAAACTAACATGTTCCATACATTAAACAAAATACATGGATTAATTATCATACAGACCCCAAACCAACCAGAGCTGTGTAACGGGCAGTCGTGTGGGGCTTCCTCCATGTCACGGGTCTGTGTGTGCACATTAGGGGCAACCGTGCAACCGTTCTTACACCCATGTTTGGTTTCCTTTAAGGTTTTTATTGGAATTTATACGATAGAAATGATTTTGAAGGTAATTGCTCTGCATCCTTATGGGTATTTCCAAATAAGCTGGAATATTTTTGACAGTTTGATTGTCTTTTTTGGATTAATGGAAATTTTACTAACAAATATTGAAGGAATAACAGTTTCTATGTTATACCCGGTAAGTAGAATTCAAGACCTAATTTTCATTTTTATTGTGGTATATTTTATTTTCTTAAACGTAAAAAGGGCCTTTATTGAAACTTTTTTCTTTTTATTTTTTTATATTAATTACAGTTTATTTACTTTGATCTCAGCTGTATCCTGCTCCCTCAATCCCTCCCCATCCCACCCTCCCTCCCTCATCTCCTCCCTGCCCCTCTCTATGTCCACTGATAGGGGAGGTCCTCCTCCCCTTCCATCTGACCCTGGCTTATCAGGTCTCAAGGGAATTATTAGAGTCATCTGTGAAATTCACTCAGTTTCTAAATGATATTTGATGTTTTCTGTGAAAATAAATGTGGGAAAATTTTAATGTTATGAAAAACTAAATATGCTATAAAGAAAAACAAAAAGACTGGATATTTACTCTGACCAGATATTAAAACCCAAACCTATCACAATAACAAAAGTACATTATTGAATGTGAATTAACAAGTAGGATATGAACATATGTATTGATTTGGTGTATAAAGCAGAGGCTGAGACTCATAGCCAAACTTTCAGCAGAGTGCAAGGAATCATATGAAGAAAGGGGAGATAGAAAGACCTGGAGGGGGTAAGAACTCCAAAAGGAGACCAACAGAGCCAATAAAACTGAGCTCTGGGGACCCTGTAGAAACTGAACCCCAACCAAGGACAATGCACGGAGAGGACCTAAAACCCTGGATCAGATGTAGCCCTTAGACTCAATATCCAAGTAGGTTCTCTAGTAAGAGGAGCAAAGGCTTTCTCTGGCATAAACTCAGTGGCTGGCTCTCTGATCACCTCCCCCTGATGGGGATGCAGCCTTGCCAGACCACTGAGGCAGACAATGCAGCCACTCCTGATAAGACCTGACAGGATTGGGAGGGGAGGTGGGAGGGAGCTACAAGGGATATAAAGTGAATAAAGTGTAATTAATAAAAAAAAATAAAAAATAAAAAATACCTGATATGATAGGGTCAGGTAGAAGGGGAGGAGGCCCACGCTATCAGTGGACTAGGGAAGGGGCATACGAGAAGAGGGAGGGAGGGTGGGATTGGGAGGAGATGAGGAAGGGGGCCACAGCCAGGATATAAAATGGATGAATTGTAATGAATGATAATAGGAAGGAAAAAAGGGAAAAAAAGGAAAAAAAATAAAATCTTCACCTTATATTTTCTAGAGGAAAAAATTATAAAATGTGTAAGATGTGTTATGAATGTAAAAATAGTCACTTGTTTTTATTAATAATGTTGATTGGTTTTACTTTAAAAGTTGTATATACATGATGACATAATTCTGATTATTTAAGTATGCACTATAATCTACACTTATCTTTTGTTGTTTTCCCCTTTTATTTTTCATTTGTCTATTAGTTGAGATTTGTTAAATTGGGAAAATATGGGCCGCCATTTAAGACTTTGATGCGTATCCTTGGTAACACATTGGTGGCCCTGAAAGACTTGGTTCTGCTGCTGTTCATATTCATTTACTTCTCTACTGTGTTCGGCATGAAGCTGTTTGGTCAAAGTTACAAAGACTGTGTCTGCCGCATAGACCAAGACTGTCTACTCCCACGCTGGCACATGAGCGACTTCATCCATGCCTACATGAACGTGTTCCGAATTCTCTGTGGAGAGTGGATAGAGACATTATGGGACTGTATGGAGGTCGCTGGATTGTCTTGGTGTATTCCTTTTTACATGATGCTTATTTTAATTGGAAATTTATTGGTAAGTATTGATTTTCTTTGTATTTTTCTTAACAAAACACCTGGTATACTATATATATTTGTATGTGATGGGTTAATGAGATCCAGTAATCCATAGCTTGATTGTCCAGAGAAGTGGGTATTTGATTATTATCAATTGAAGCACAATTGGTCCAATTTGAGCCATGCAGTAACTGAGAAATACATACTCGATTTGAAGTTTTATCCCCAAAGAATGTGTGTATTTTTATTATAATAGTATTAAAGTACATATAGCTTAATGAAATTAATTAACATTTCTTTGTTATTATTGTATGCATGATTTCTATTGGCTAGCACTAGGTCATAATACTGTTAGTCAGCTTTGAAATCATGTGGAAATCATTAGACCTGCAATTTCCAATTCCATACAGGTATATGGAAACATAATTCACCTTGTAACTCTATTTGCAAAAGATTTATTTGTCCATTAAAATTTAAGAAGCACTTAAATGCAACACTGGCTGTCAACCTGCCTGCACACTGGCATTACCTGGGGAATGGTTAATGGTGTACTTATTTCAAGAATCCACGCCCAGACTTTCTGATGTTATTGATATGTGGACTTGACATTAGACAGTGATTTTTTTTTAATTCTCACTTGACCAGACAGCACAGCAATGATTACATACCAATACATATTTGAGTATTTTACATTGTATAAAGAAGAAAGCTTTTTACTTTTCAATTTCTTTCGCACTGAACTACTGTCAAATGAATTGAATAAGAAATCTTTCCTGCTTCTAGACAATGATATGGAATAAAAATTTTAAAACATATTTCTCACAGAACAAGAAGGGACTTGATATTTTGTCTTATGCCATGAAGATCAACTATATCCCAAAAGACTTTTAGAAAAACAATAATCTAAAAGTATTATGCATACACAATTGAAAACAGAATTAAAAACTGGTTTCCTATAAATTAAACAGCCTTGATTATATTTCTAATTAATAATAAAGTCAAAATATATACTATTGTTACCCTGAAATAATTTATATACAATGATTTTAAATTAGTTTTGTATAACTTGTCTGTATCCATTTACTGTGAGACAATATTTTATGTAATGACTGTTTTCTTGGCTTAAAAAGTATGTGGCACTCAGTGTCATGGGTAAGTCACTGGAGCTTACCCTTTGATTTGGAGGGTCTTTGCACGTCTTCCCAGGACTGGGTTCAACTGAGAACAGTATTGCTATAGGCATTTGTTAGTAGAGTGCTTTCCAGTACTTGTAATGCTATCTCTTTCTGAGTTTGCATTTGTTCTCTCATTTGAGAATGCCTGGCTCCATGATGAAATACGTTTTGGGCGTAAGACAAACTAGAGTAGCCTTAGGATTTGAAATATATAAGCCTCACTTTTGCACCAGGGAAACAGAAATAAATCAAACTGCATGGGGCAGGTTGAACTTAAAATTAGTAGTTTGGTGGAGCGGTAAAATTCCTGCTAGCAGTCAAGATGTCCTCATGTGCAGTTTCTAGCATCAAAACAAAACAACTACAACAACTGCAACAGCAGCCCACAGAACAACAAAACAGTCTGTTCACCTAATCGGCTAGCATGGCACCTGACAGTGAGCACTGTGATGCAGTTGTTAAGTTTTCATGTCTCAGAATGGAATTTTTAGAGACTTTTTTTTTTATCATATAAAATGAAACAAGCGAGATACATTAAGTGGCATTTTCTTTTCTTTTCTTGAGATACTTTACCTCTTTGTGGCATTGGTGAGCTCATTCAGTTCATATGATGCTACAACGGAAGTGAGCCAAGAAGCCAAAAACATTCAACTTGCCATGTCCAGGATAAAGGGAGGAGTAAACTGTGTGCTTATGAAAATATTGTGCAAAAAAAGGACCACTGCTACAGAAACAACAGACCAAAGGTGTGATGCAAGCATTAAAGAGAATATTTCTGTCCACACTCTTTCTGAAGTGAGTGACACACAAACATTTCTCAAATATAAGGAAAAGAGCAGTGGCACAGAGAAAACTCCAGTGACTGAATCTGAGAGCCAGTCACTGATTGCTAGTCCCAGTGCCTCAGAAACTGTGCCAATTGCTTCAGGAGAATCTGATATAGAAAATCTGGATAACAAGGAGACTCGGAGCAAGTCTGGGAATGGAGACAGTAAAGAGGTAAGGTGTTCTATTATATTCATTCTTAAGTATGGGTTTGTGGGGGTTTTTCAAACAATTAAATCAACATTGAAGTTATACAGTTAAATTGTTCATCTGAACCTAACTCTATCTTCCATAACTACTGGATTTTGTAGAGGAATTTCAGTCCAGCAATATGCTGCTCTGGCCAGGGATCACATCCAAAGAACTTCTAGGTCAGTGTGATCAGGCTAGAATGCACACACCTTTAATCCCTCTGGCTGGAATACAGACCTGCCCTTAGTACATACCATTAAGGTGAAATTAGAAGGAAGTAGCCATGCTTGAAATTGACATCTAATTGAGGGGTAGACAAAGTGATGAATCAGAGAATGATTTGACAGAATGAGTCAGAGATAAGATATGCACAACTCTCACAAGAACAAGACAGGAAAGAGAAGCTATTTAAGAGCAGCACAGGGAAAAGAGTGAGTCAGTTGGGAGTCAGTGCAGTTGAGAGCAGGCAGTGGAAATGAGTTGAGTTCACTTCAGTTCAGTCAGTGGAGTTCAGGAAGGCAGTACAGTGGAGTTGAATTTGGGCAGTTCAGTGCAGAGCAGCCAGTTGAAGCCAGAGAACGAGGAGCCAGAAGATTTGAATAAATTGCTAGACTGCTAATTAAATCAAGGCCAAGCAAGTGAAAAATCAGAAGCTTTGAGAAGCCAGTTTGAATCAGTCAGCTTGGAGAGAAATTTGAGCTAGAATAGTTGAGTGGAACCAGCCAGTCAGAGTTCAGAAAGAGCTTGAAAGGGTGAACTTCTTCAGCAGTAAGTCTCAGAGAAAACAATTACATCAGGTGAATAAAAGTAAATATTTCAAGATTTCATGGTTTTAACCAAACTACTTAAATGTCCAAGTTTTTGTTTCCTCATATGAAAATGAAGAAATATTTCTTTTGGAGGGCATAAATAAGAAAATTATCATAGTAGCACAGAGAATTTGCCTACAATAAAGTAATTCTGGAGATATTAGATGGTATAATTCTAACATTCTATAAATTAATAAGCAAGACAATTTTCAGTAAATAAAAACATACCCCTAAGTTTGTAAAATTGATGTGTATAATTAAGAGATTCAAATTCCTTGTGCATTATCATCTTTAAGAGGTGAAAATTGCTTAGAAGAGGGCACAATTATCTTGCTTGCTAAGACTAAAAATTGCTTAGAAGAGGGCACAATTATCTTGCTTGCTAAGACTAAAAGTCTAGTCCATTAATTTCTACCATTTATTAAAAAATATAAGAAAAAAAAGTATAGAAAGATGAAGGGAATTCCTATTCCTTCCTAAGTCTACACTTTTTCTTCTCTGAAGACTTGGCTCCTGTGTAGCTCTAGATAAATCTGCTGTTTACCATAGTAAAATGAGCCAGGTATCCCTTAGAAAATCTTGATAATATAATTAGAAGGTCTAGAGCACAAAATATGGAGTAAAATAACTGTAAATATTGAATTTCAGAATCTGTCAATAATAAATTGTGCTTATTTTAGGCCTTTATTTGTGTTTTCCATTATGTAATGTTTAATTATGTATTTAATCAGACCTTTTGTCAATTATGTAGTACAAGAATAATGTGTATTGGCCTAAAAAAATATAACAAATGAAGCATGGAAAATAGACTAATTTCAGAAATACATTTTCTATTTTTATACATCTATCCTTCCATTAACATACTTATGTGTTTATATAAGACTGAGCACACTGCATACCAGATTGTAAAATAAAATAAAATATAGTACTCTATCAAAATCGATTATCCATGACACTTAGGAAATTACCAAAAATAAAATAAAATTATAATTGATATTTTGAGCTAGTTGTAATAAAGTAAAGCTACTGAAAGATCTTATCTACAGTGTATCACAAGTGTTTCATCATATCTATAGCATATTACAAGGGTTTGTCTAAGTAATACTTTTCTGCCCACTTTGTTTCTTTGTTCAAGCAACACATTTTACTGAGATGATAACTGGCCATATAAAAACTAAGGCAAAGAAAACTTTCCATTATACTGATTGTACACAAGAACAAAAAGAATGACCAAATACTGATAAGGTTCTTTTCCAAACTCTAACTAAATAATCCTGAATTAGTAAAAATTTTATATACTTGTATTTGATTTGTCTTAATTAGGAAATATTTTCTGGTGCTATTGACTTATGGGATCCTGGTAAATTTAAAGGATGGTATGATTGTTCCCATCTCAAAATAAGGTATCAACTGAAGCATTTGCCACATGGTTAAAGCAATCAGCTCCTTAACTCAGCAGCCTTGAGCTTCAGTCATGGGTGACTGGAAAGAAAGACCTCTGTCTGTCCCCAGGATCTTCCTGCATAGCTTGTCCACTCACCACATTCTGTCTTCTGTCCTGGTCCTCTCTCTCTCTCTCTCTCTCTCTCTCTCTCTCTCTCTGTGTGTGTGTGTGTGTGTGTGTGTGTGTGTGTGTGTTTTCTTTTCACATCATAATGACCTCATGTCCAATGCTGAAAAGCACAAAACAGTCTGGGCTGGATTAAACGTTTATATTGAAATTCATTGTCTCCTCAACATTAAAATGAATTAGTGTGATGTTTGTCTAATTAAAACAACACATATGTGGCTCCTGTGAAATGCCTTAAAATTCAAAACCCAATTATATCAATAAACTATGAGTAAAATGATTTTTTAGGTAAACTTTGATTTTCAGTTATCATTTCAAACTAATTTAAAAAGCAAATCTACTTACACAAAATGCATATCATTTCAGTATCAGCCCCCAAACTTCCTTGAAGTCTTTTAACGTTTGTATTATTCCTGTATAACATACTTACTTCTGAAAATTGGACAAACCTACAATATTCAAGTTAAAATTTGGCTGTAATTTTTTTGTTGTTGGGGATGTATTTTTCTTCTAGAAAATGAAGCAATCTAGTTCATCTGAATGCAGCACGGTTGATATTGCTATCTCTGAAGAAGAAGAAATGGTCTATGAACATGAAAAGTCAAAGCTTCACAAAAATGGCAAGTAGTAATTTTATTCAAAGGTAGACTAAATTTCTTTGAATCTGAATATTGCTGTAGTATCTACTTTTTACATTCATTGTAGACAGGTTGCAAACATTGAAAAGTGTACATATTCACACACCTATAACCTAACAGATACAAAAAACATCAAGGGAAAAAGTCATCTTTTTCCCAGCATTTAATTTTTTTATTTATTATAATTTATTCACTTTGTATCCCAGCTGTAGCCCCTTTTCTCATCCCCTCCCAATACCACCCTCCCTCCCTCTTCTCTTCACCTGGCCCTCCACCAGTCCACTGATAGGAGCGGTTCTCGGTTCTCTTCCCCTTTCATCTGATCCTAGCCTACCGGGTCTCCTCAGGAGTGGCTGCATTGTCTTCCTCTGTGGACTGGCAAGACTGCCCCACCTCAATAGGAGGTGATCAAAGAGCCAGCCACTGAGTTCATGTCAAAGACAGCTCCTGTTCCCCTTACTAGGGTACCCACTTGGAGACTGAGCTGCCATGGGCTTCATCTGAGCAGGGGGTCTAGGTCCTCTCCATGCATGGACCTTAGTTGGAGTATCATTCTCTGCAGGGCCCCTGTGCCCAGATATTTTGGTTCAGTTGCTCTCCTTGTGGAGCTCCTGTCCTCTCCAGGTCTTACTATCTCCTACTACTTTCATAAGATTCCCTGCACTCTGCCCAAAGTTTGGCTATGAGTCTCAGCACCTGTTTCGATACCCGAAAGGGTAGAGTCTTTCAGAGGTCTTCAGTGGTAGGCTCCTGTCTTATTCCGTTTTCTCCCTCTCCCAAAAAGTCGTCTTTGGGAAAAGAGGATAAGTGTGTTTGGTACAGTCTAATGAGGTAGTTACAAAGCTATCTCTGGAACCAATAACTTGATTTCATCTTTCTGTCTACTGTCCATTTATTCTTCTTCTCATTGCCTTCTAATCTAAACAGAGATAAACTTCATAAGGTATTTTAAAAGATTAGTGTATATGTTTGTGTGTACGTAAGCATTTGTGTGTGCAATCCTAGAAGATAATCTTTTCCAAAGAATTGGAATACTCAGTGATGTCATCAATGTTTTCATCACCCTAACTTATTGACTCAGCCTATAGAGATAGTGACTGACATAGTGGATACAGAAGGAAACTCTGAGTGTTTGTGATTAGTGGAGTAATAGTAATACCATTTACTCAAACACACTTTCATAGTATAAATATTAAGAATATATCTAAAGTTCTTATTTAATTGCATATGTGTAGTTAGGCAACTGAATACATTATACTAGAGCAAGAAAGTATAGTTAAATCCACACTAGACTGCATATATTACAAGCAAAATACTTTTAATTTGAATTAAGTCAATTTAATTTTCTATGTACTTTATAGGAAAATAAAGCATATTTACATATTTGTATATATATTAGTAAATATACAATATGCAAATTCAGTAATTTCTTTAGCATCCGAGGTATAATATATAACATATACTTCTCAGTGATTTATAAATCAAATTGGTTTCCTAGCAAGATTAATAAATTACTCCAGATTTGAACTTTGGAAATTAGTGAATAATCATCAAATTATTAACTGCCTCCCAAAAAGCCCAATTGGTAGCTTTAAAATAAGAATATTGTTTGGCTGAAAAGATGACTCTGATGATAAAGTTCTTGCTACACAATCCAGTTAGACCGAAATTTAGGTCGCAAGCACGCCCTTCACAGCCAAGTCTGGTAGTGCTCGTCTGTAATCCCCACGTTGATGAAGTAGAGGTGGATCCAGGAAGCAGCAGGCCAGCCAGCCTAGTGGAATTGCTGAGTTCCAAGTTCAGTGAATGACCAGTGTCAAAACATAGATGTAGAAGCAACTGAGGAAAGCAGCCCTGAATCAGCTTCACAAGCTCCCACATGGGCAAGCGCATACCCCACGTGCCTCACACGTGTGTGCGTGCACACACACACACACATTTCAGCATTCAAGGGCATTATCCATCTAAGGAAAAGGCAGAAATATTTTCTGTTTTTTAGTAAAGAAGCATATTCTGAAAAATACACTAAAAATTGTGAAAACGTTTTTTAACTTTGTACTACACTCACATCCATTTCTTCACACCCCTATAATCATCCACTTACCGAGTTACAGGTTAGTTTGTGTTAACGCTCTCTGACAAGGCATGCTTTACAGCTGTGCACACTCACCCCATGAGCACCTGGATGCCTGTCTCTTTAAATTGTCTCACTGGAGTTTCCCATTCCTGTGCTGCCTAAGAGTCAGTTTTAAGGAAATGTAGTTGACTTATTATTACATGGGTTCATATAAGTCATTTGCATCTGAAATGATCATACCAATTATTCAAAACGTGATTCACAAGTTATCACATTTGGGTGCACCTTTGAGAGTAGCGTTGACGAACTGGTTTCATCCGCATTAGTTCTCTTATCTCTAGGGTAGAAGGATGTTCTGTTATCTCCACCTTCTGTGGCACATTTGTTCCTCTTCCAACACCCACAAGTTCAGTTCTCCTCTCTTCACTGATCACACACCACTGAGCCATGGTAAAAAGTCAAATGTGTGTAAATCACAGAGCATCTGTACCAGAATCAGTAAATAAGTCATCGTCAATGCATCTAAAGTTGAGATGTTTATCCTTTTGTGTGTTTCCTAGATGGTCACCTCTAACAGTTTCATTCTTGGCAGGTTATGAACGAAAATCTTCGCTTGGTCAACTCAGTAGAGAATCCAGGAATGGAAAGATTTGGAAGAACATAAGGAAAACTTGCTGTAAGATAGTAGAGAACAGCTGGTTTGAATGTTTCATCGGCCTGGTCACTCTGCTCAGCACAGGCACTCTGGTGAGCTCGCAGCCTCAGGAAATGTCATGTGAAAATCAGCTGTAAGATTAGCAATTCACATTGTCGCTATGCCAGATGGCTTTGCCCAGAACACTTAATATAGCACAAGATTTCATTTATTCTTTGCAATCTGTTAGCACTAGAAACTACGTCACACTTTACTAGAATCATTGTATATAGATGATTCTCCATTAAATGTAATATCAGTATTATTTAAGATATATGAATTTGATAAATATTATATTTCTAATATGTACAGGTATTTAATATTTGATGTTAAATTTAAGTATCAAAGTTAAATATACAGTCATTTCAAACTGTACACACTGTAATGTGAAAAGGAAGTGAAATAGATACTTGATTCTATTTCCTTTAATGAAGTTTTATTCATTATTAAATTTACAGGGTATATACTCACTCATAAGTGGATATTAGATATATAATATAGGATAAACACACTAAAATCTGTACACCTAAAGAAACTAATCAAGAAGGAGGACTCTGGCTAAGTTGCTCAATTCCCATTCAGAAAGGCAAAGAGGATAGACATCACAAGAAGGAGAAAGCAGGGAACAGGACAGGAGCCTACCACAGAGGGCCTCTGAAAGGCTCTACCCTGCAGGGTATCAGAGCAGATTCTGAGACTCATAGCCAAACTTTGGGCAGAGTGCAGGGAATCTTATGAAAGAAGGGGGAAATAGTAAGACATGGAAAGGACAGGAGCTCCACAAGGAGAGCAACAAAACCAAAAAATTTGAGCACAGGGGTCTTTTCTGAGCCTGATACTCCAACAAAGAGCCATTCATGGAGATAACCTAGAACCACTGCATAGATGTAGCCCATGGCAGCTCAGTCTCCAAGTTTGTACAACCTGCTATTGCCAACACATAGCGATTTGTGAAATTCACTCACTTTCCATTATGAAATGTCTTTCTTTATTTTTAGTTTTGTGCCTCATCAAATTTGAAGTCAAATTTGATTCCATATAAATCAGAGTTCCAAGAATTTTTTTTATATTAACATTTCAAATTTTATTTCCAGGCTCTTGAAGATATATATATTGATCAGCGAAAAACCATTAAAATCTTACTGGAATATGTGGACATGATATTTGCTTACATCTTCATTCTGGAGATGCTTCTCAAGTGGGTGGCTTACGGCTTTAAAGCCTATTTCTCTAACAACTGGTACAAGCTGGACTTCCTGGTTGTTATCGTACGTATTTCAAAGAACACGTTTAAGTACTACTTATCTTTTAACACTCTTACCCTTCTTCTTCTTACTCCTTTTTCTCTCCATACAACGTCTACACCAACATCTCATTTCCTATATTACCATATCTGTAATGTTTAATGTTTATTCGTATCCTGTCACTCCACAACTTGAATTGAGTTCTAGATTATTGTTATAATTCAGCCATGAAATTACTGATAACAGAACAGTTTATTGAACAACATCATGAAAATATCACTAAAAATCTTTAAATACTATTGACCTGATATTTAAATAATGTATCGACAATTTGAATGTTTATTTTCATAAACAGCCTCCAGAGTGTCAGGGTTTCTCATATGGATTATCGGGTAGACTTTATATTGACATTCCTGTTCTGGCCAAGGTGCAGCTTCTATTATTCTATGCACAGAAACTAAAGTTAAAAATAAAAAGTGAATGACAGTTACTGATAAGATCTGATAGGCTAGGGTCAGATGGAAGGGGAGGAAGTCCTCCACTATCAGTGGACTGGGGAAGGGGCATGGGAGGAAGGGAGGGGAGGATTGGTAGGGGACGAGGGTGGGGGCTACAGCTGGAATACAAAGTGAATAAATTGTAATAAATAAAAAATTTTATTAAAAATAGCACATTCCAACCAAAAAAAAGTAAAAAAAAAAGTGAATGTCAGCTAATGAACTTCTCTTTGTGGAACCCTATAAAAAACAGTTTATCTTCCTCAAGCCAAAAGTTAACTTTTTAAAATTAAAAGTCTCTCTTGGCAGGGTGGTGGTGGTGCAAGTTCCAGAATGTGGGAAGCAGAGGCAGGTGGATCTTTGTGACTTCAAGGTCACCTGGCCTAGAGAGCTAGTTCTAGGACAGCCAGGGCTACACAAAGAAATCCTAACTCAAAAAGAAACAAAGTCTTCATCCTGAGTGAGGTAACCCAGAAGCAGAAAGACACATATGACATATACTTACTTATAAGTGGATATTAGCCATATAATATAGGATAATCATACTAAAATCTATAGTCCTAAAGAAGCTAAACAACAAGTAGGATTCTGGCTAAAATGCTCAATCCTCATTCAGAAAGGCAAAGAGGACAGACATCAAAAGGAGAAAACAGGGAACAAGTCAGGAGCCTACCACAGAGGGCCTCTGAAAGACTCTGAGAGGGTATCAAAGCAGATGCTGACACTTATGGCCAACCTTTGGGCAGAGTGCAGGGAATCTTATGAAATAAGGGGGAGATAGTAAGACCTAGAGAGAATAGGAGCTCCACAAGGAGAGCAACAGAACCAAAAATTCTGGGCACAGGGCTCTTTTCTAAGACTGATACTCTAACCATGCATGGAGATAACCTAAGACCCCTGCACAGAGGTAGCCCATGGCAGTTCAGTGTCCAAGTGGGTTCCCTAGTAATGGGAACAGGGCCTGTCTCTGACATGACCTGATTGGTCTGCTCTTTGATCACCTCCCCCTGAAGGGGGAGCAGCCTTACCAGCCACAGAGGAAGACAATGCAGCCACTCCTGATGAGACCTAATAAACTAGGAGCAGAAGGATGGAAAGGAAGACCTCTGTTATCAGTGGACTTGGGAAGGGGCATGGGTGGAGAACGGGAAGGGAGGGAGAGATTGAGAGGGCAGGAAGGAGGGAGCTACAGGGGGGATACAAAGTGAATAAAGTATAATTAATACAAATTAAAAAAAAAAGAAAATGAAGTCTCCAAGACCCTACATTATGTGATGAGCTCGCCTGCTTTCCTTCTTCCCAACCACACTTATTCTTCCCCCCTGCCATCTCTGTAGCTGATCTACCAGCACTGGATTTTTGAAGCGCTTCAAATTAGCCAATATGATTTCCATCCTATTTCCTTGGTACTCCTTCCTCCATCTGAAATTTTACATTGAAGAGAAACTGTTAAAGTTCCATTGTCGTTTGCTACCTAATTAAAGCTACAACCAGCACAGTATTTTCTCTGTCATTTTTTTCCACCTCCTTAGCGCCTGTGACTATTATGTATTTATCCAATTATTTATAATTTGTCTTCCCACACTTGAAGATAATCTCTATTAGGCAGAAATTTTCTGAATATTATTCTTTCCTCCTTTATTGCCTATGCCATCTAGGCATATCATATAGGTAATAATGTTTACCCAACGAATAGATGCCTGGCTATGTTATGAACAGCTATGTAGGCTTTTCTGTATGTCATCAATGACTTGCAGTAGGTGACCTCTGTGTTCCAAGTCAGTTCTTACCATTAGTTTTCTACTCCATAGAGACCCAACAGTACACCACGCCTCTGCTCAATGCTCTTTGCATCCACATCCCTGTATGCTGATGTAGGGAACCCTGTGATTCTGATGCTGCCTCAACTCCATCTTTATAGTACAGAACTAAGAACAAAAATAGTTTCTCTGTGTTGACTTGGAAATATAGGAATCACAGAGATATAATAAAAGTCTAATCATAGCTGTACACATCTTTTTCAATTCTAAATAACATATAATAAGCTCTGACAATTTTATGGATATAAATTTACTCAACAATTACTTAAATATAGGTTATACTTTTTAAATCTATAATTGTTAAAATTCAATTAGTATATTTATATCTGGCTTCTGAATTCTTTTATTATATGTTGCCTTATAATTATATATCGGTAAATATATTCTATGTCTTGTTTTAATGAATACATTTTCATTGCTGTATTACAAGTTATCTTACTTCAGATTAAAAACAGTGTAAATATTGATCATGTGGAATATCAGATTCATACATACTTATATAAGAATATTCTTTATTTCTAGAAATTATTAGTTTTATCTTTTATAAAATAATTTTACAAAATTATTTCCTTACAGTTTGTATTACTGAGACATTGTGAAATATATATTTAAGTACTTTAAGGGTTGAATGGAGGGTTTAGATATTGTGTTTTTTTATTACAAGCACAAAGTTTGTGATCGTATTAACTTTTTTTTTATTTGTGCAGGTGTTTTGTCTTAGCTTAATAGGCAAAACTCGAGAAGATCTGAACACACTTGCCTCCGTAAAGTTCCTTCGAGGACTCAGAGTTCTCTCTCAGTTTGAAAGAATGAAGGTAGGACAGAAGGTTGAAAACTCAACTGTGAGTTCTCAGTTAGGACCACCAAACTTCTATGAATCAACAAGGTTTATCGCTGCTTTTACGGGTTATTTTTAAATAAACAAATAAGAAATATTCCAGTGCCTACGAATAAAAAAGCGCTGTCAGTCCCATCGTAAAACATTTTGGAACCTATTGCTCATAAGATATGAAAACTAGGCCAAGTGCATTCTCTTTCCCTGTACTCATGCAAGGCAGTCCTGCCAGGGGGAAGTGATCAAAGAGCAGGCAACAGGGTCCATGTCAGAGACAGAGGGAGGAAGCATAGGAATGGGAGAGGATGAGGGAGGGGGCTATGATCAGGATGTGAAATGAATAAATAAATTTTTTAAAGATATGAAAACTAACAAAATAAGTAAAGATGATAAAAGCTGAGAGATTGATGCAGTTTCAGTAACAATATATTTCTAACCCCATATATACACATTTGTATTATATTTGTATAATTGTGTTACATTGTATATATGATATCTACTATATACATCTGTGATATGTATATAATGTGTGTGTAATGAGCAGGGGAAAACTTCATTCAGTTTATTAACTATTTTAGCATTTCAATTAACTGTATATTAATTTTAGAAATGTAGTTTGATTATGTTGACCCACACTTCCCTTTATCTTCCCCTAAACCAACCCCCATCTTTCTATTCTCCCACCAACATTACATCAACTTTTTCTCTTTTATTTAATAACTCATTGGCTCTGCCCTGTATGGACTATATGCTTTTAGGTGGGAGCAATCCACTGAAATACAGTTGACCCGACCTG